GGGGGGGGGGGGGCTGCCTTTTGCTGCTTTTCCTGTCACACGGCAGACACAGGAGGGCCATCTCGGGGTGGGGTTGGCGGCGTTTGGCAGAGCGGGCCGAAAAGAAACGGGGCCACAGACGAATGTGCAGCCACCGGAGGAGGGGGATGAAACGGCTGGAGGGGGGGGCGCGGGGACGCGCACCTGCGCCCCGACATCTGCTGACAAAGACGTGCCCTTCCACCGGGCCACGCGGGGAGGGACGCGGGCGCATGCGCGGGAGGGGTCCCACAGACACTGCTCGTTTGTGCATGCACGCTGGCTTGTGTGTGCATTTGAAAACGTAACCAAGCAAATGTGAAAGAGCATGCGACGTGACCAGGGCCGATAACAAGCTCTATTCAGGGGCCGAGTAAACACCACTGGCTCCAAAGATATTGCTTTGGCTGGCCTGCAAAAAAACACCGGCTCATCAAACACACACACACACAAACACACACACATTTGCACACATACATAACATGATCCTGGTGGACATGGGGCTGTGCTTTATTATTTTGATATCCAAAAAAGTTGCCCTCATCCTGCAGCCACAACCACTGAGCAAGGTGTGGTGTACATTCTCAACATTTTCTGTCTTCAACAAAACCCCACAGCCGCAGAGCCAACAAGCTGAGACAGGACTCACAGAGTCCAGGCTTCAAATGGCAAAAGTCAGCATGGTGAATGGGCGCGTTCGTGGAGATAAAAACAAAACAATCACGCGTCATTAAAAAGAAAGCCCTCGCGTCGGAAAATGAAGATTGTTCTGCTCGATTATCTCAGGAGTTTAATGCTGAGAAGGAGTCTCGTCTGCTCTGCAAGGAAGGAAGATGCTGCCAAGCCGGACTGGAGAAAGCACATTGCTACTCTGTGCAGCTCTCCTGTTGACCTTGCGTGTCTGGAAGGAAGTGTGGCGAGCCCCGTCTGGCGTTTCGGTGGCCATTTAAGTCTAAAACGCAGTCTGTTAGTCGGCAGCAAACGCTCAGACCCCACAGGGGAACAGGCACTAACTCTTCAGCCAAGGCACACATGGCACGAGATCTTTCTCTTCCATCTCGCTCGTCTCATGTTGCTGCGGCTTCTCCTGCAAACCTTCTCTTCCTCCCTCCTCTTTTTATTCCACCCGACACAAACTCGACACGCAGTGCGAGGATTCGGTCTGTTCTGAACACGGAAGGCAGGACTGAGCTGAGGAATCTGATAGTAAATGAAACTGGATAGTAGCGACAAGGAATGTTAATTGTATGTCTGAATTTGGAAACGGCTCCTGTTTTCTTCTTTGTCAAGGCATGCACTTCCAATTACATGCAGGAGTCGTGAAAACCAAAAAATCAAAATATGAAGAAAACAGATTAAACAATTCTACAGACCATATGTTGCTTTTTTTGTTTTCTGTATGGAAAGTAAGAGATCATCTCCTGCGCGGCTCAGAGAAGAAATCTGAGGTGAGAGGTCAAACTAGAAACAGTAAGCTTGGAAAGCACACAAAGACCATGCACATGATTCAGTAAGCTCTGTTGAGCTTTTGTGGAAATGGGTTAGCTACTTCTTTGAATTTTGCAGGCCCCTGCTCTGTAGAGAAAAAAGGAGAACAGGATGAGAAATGAGTGCACAGGACAGTGCAGCTCGAGGTTGCCGGCTCACGCTGCGTCGCTGGCTGCCAGCTGAAGCCCTTTGTCGACCTGAACCTGAGCCACCGCACGTACCGCCACCTCATAAATCCCCCCGGCTGGAAGATGAGGAATGTATTAAGTCACAGTGGTGGTTGTTGACTCATTCTAGGTGGTATGGCCGCCCACGCAACAGAGGAAGAGCCCGAAAGAAACTTGGCCTCGGACCTGACGGCTGTGGGTCTGAGACCAAAACGCAGGGCAGTACATTTGACAGCGGGAAACCAATTATCCCGGGGGCAGCTGGGTGCCACAGTGAGCTGCGAGACCCCTGTCCCTGACCTTGCACTCAAACCTGCATGTCGAGCAGAGCGCCGGTAGAATTTCCCGCCAACAAAAAAACCAATTAAGTATCTCTCGTGCAAGCAAAGAGCTCAAACTTAATGAGGGGTGTCAGGCTGTGATCAGATCCAACAACATCCAGAGAGGAAGTTTGATTAAAGAAAGTCTTGTTGGCACCAATAAAAGGTGAAAATGCTAAAAAAACCTTGAGATACTACAGCACATTGCTGACCCCTCATAATTCCTGCAGCAGGAACCAGGTGCTTTGTGCTTTAATGCAGCGGGCGGTTTTATTACTGCCGGCGAGACGATGTGCTAAAAAGCATATTCTTGCTCTAACATTAGGCCGCGGGCTCTCCAGGGAGCCGAGCGCGGTGAAGAGCTGCTGGTTACCAATCCATACTGGCCGTCTTAAGGGGCCCAGTGAGAGCCGTGCATGACCCTCTTTCGTTGGCGAACTGTGCCTTCCTGAGCGCAGCGTTTGGTGGGTCGGGGTGTAGCGCTGCAGCAGCAGGAAGCTTTGGGGTTGAGGGACAAATCTAAAAAAAGGAGCCCATGGGTTGGGGGTGGGGGTAGCCACAGGCATTTACCTAACCAAACACAGCTGTCAGGCCGTGTGTGCTGGTGTGTGTGTGTGTGTGTGTGTGTGTGTGTGTGTGTGTGTGTGTGTGCAGAGAGAAGGGAGGAGAGAAAGGATTACGGTAACACAAGCAGTCTGGCTCATTCAAACGGGAGAAAACACCACAAGGCTCTGGCTTGTACAAGACGCACTCACACAAACCCTTCTGCTCCTCTCCTTCTCCGCTCTCCTTTCCACCGGGGCCCCCATCCAGCGAGGGCAGCCAAAAGAGAAGAGTCGGGCCCAGACAACTCCCTGTCTTATCCTAACAGGATTCAGTTGGCACACAAAGGCCTATAAGAATAATGAACGGAGGTTTGGGAGTACTTGAAGTAGGGTTAAGCTGCATGTACAACCTCCTCTCTTATGTGCTAAGAGCGTCGCAATCCCCCAGACCCTAAAAACAAAGGTACTAATCACAGGCTAGCAACTTGAATACCATTTACTTGCAGACCTCAGCCACTGAGTCAGTCAGAGACAGAAGGCTCTCGCTTAAGCCGGGTTAGCCTCCATTGTGTGACATTCAAGGAAAAGAAATAAATACAACTTTAAAAATGGAGTTTGATCCTCTTTGTAAAGAGACATGACCCAGAAAAGCAGACTAGAGTCTCTGCATTTTGCATAAATAGACAACAGAGGGGGGAAACTCTAGAATGTGAGCATGTGGCTGCTGTTTTCTACACTGCCATCGTATGAGCTTAGCTTTTCTCATTTTCGTATACGTTCAAATCGCTTTGTGCAGTCTTATGAGATTACTGATTCACTGCTTATACGAGCAGTCATGAATTATTCAATACGATTCATTTAAATTAAGTTTTCTTATTTGAAAAAAAGGGGGGGTCAATTAAGGTTCCAGAGGTCACTGCAGACGCACCACTTCTACACTGTTCACTTTTTTGTTGCTAATTTTGGAGAAACAACAACGTGACCGATTACAAATTCTGATGTTAATCAAGACCCCGAGGAGGGACGAGCCCTTTCAAAAAGATTCACACAGCCTACTGGTGTATATGCTCCAAGCACTGGAATGTTTGTGTCTCGCATTTGCATTAAAATGATGCCGTCAGGAAAATCTTTGAGACACGAGGAGGAAAGGTCATCCATCTAATCTCGCTTAACCTTCTCCGCTCCGATTTGGTATCAGTGTCAGGAGTCTCTGTTCTGGGAGAAACAACGCGAGAGGCTCATGCCATCTGATGAGCCCGTCTCCTTGTCAGGTGAGGCAAGCGTGCCGGATATGTGGACGGAAGGCAGAGGCGGGAATGAAAAGGGGGAGAGGAGTATTTGGGCCTGCAAAGAAATGAGTTCAGAGGAGATGAGAGTACCGCTGACTGAGTTAACCCCACAGGCCTGTCACATCCTATTCTCAGCCTCACTGAGCACGACAGGGCTGAGGACCAAAAAGGGTGTGAGTGCAGTCACATGCTTCTGGCTATCCCAACAAGCTTAATGATCTGGAAGGGAGGAATGGGCTAAATCGAACTAATTTAAAAGTTGGGCCAGATGTACTTTATCAAAGACAAGGATCACCTGATGAATCAGTGATTCGTGTAGCTGGAGGAGAGAATTTGAGGACAACAAATAAGATTCTTTCCATGGAAATGAGTCGAGCAAATTACGCAGTCCTCATGCCAACCAGGTTATTGTTGAATAAGGGTGGAAATTAAACGGGATCGTGTAATTCCTCTGGTTGGCAGGGGGGGGAAGCACGACAAAAGCTGATTTACACTGCAACAGAAAACATTTTCAGGCCAATTCAAAAGAATTGCCATAAGGAACCGAAAGGAAAAACAAAACATAAACAGATCATGTTGGATAAGGTGCCTCTTGCTGCACAAGGATTTTCTTGTTTAGCTATTGGCCGTCATTCCGTCTTCCCAAAATATTTATTCCCCAAAGCCAAATTGTCTTCCACGTGACAGAAAAGTGGGGGTGGTGCGTGTCTGCATGTACATGTGCACACAAAAAAACGCTTTGTTGGCCAGACCTTAAACAACAGAGCAGACTGTTTCTCGGTGACAAAGGAGGTCTGCTTTCTCATAGTGAATCAGGGCCGATTTACAGCCTGTGGCTTCAAAAGACTGGAAACAGAAGCCCCTCTAAGAGAGCGTGGCTCGCAGAGCAGACAGCTGAAACATTTCCTTTATTCAACAGTGTTCAGCGAGGGGCCGCACGACAAAAAAACAACCCATCTGACCATTAAAAAAAATATATAAATAATTACTCTTGACTATAACAGTGTTTAGGTATGACAGTGGGAAATGATTTATACTAATGCAAGCGTATGTTATACATTGAGTAATAGTGGCTGTATCAAACTTATGAGGCAGATGTTTGGCCACAAAAACAAAAAGTAGGGTTCATGACCTCACATGAAGCCACACTGATGGAGCTGATATAAGAATCAGGTTACGTTAAATATTGGCTTGTTCAAAACAGGAAAAAAACACACAAAAAAAAAGGAAAAAAAAGCCCCTCCAACCTGGAAAAAAAAGAAATAAAAAAGCAAGCCTTCTGTTCAAGAGCTACAACCGACATTAATTCTTTATGGTCTAGTGCTGCCCAGCCTTGTGTGTAGGGTCTTTCAGAAAATGTTATCTTTTGAGTTGAGTGATGCCTGCGAAACGTCAAGGTGCTCCTGTATATGCGAATTTATGAGATGTGTGGTACTTATTTGTGTACCCCATCCACAAGGCCTGCACGCCCCTAATGCGTTACCCCACAAGTCACAACTTAAGCATGACATAAACAATTCATGAGTCCTTGTAAACATGCGAGGGCTACAGAGAGCGGGTTGCGAGGAGAGCTGTGGACAATGTGTGCGCATGATGTGTTGGTGTGAGATGTCTGAGGCGGTGTGCGGGAAAAGGACGAGGAGGGGGTGATTCACCAAGCCTCTGAACTGATGCATAATGGCACTGAAAACACTGATGGCATTATCTGGAGCTTGCACAAGTGGAACAGAGAAGCAAGCAGCAACACAGATAGGATGAAAAAAGAAAAAGAGGAAGGAAAGGGGACAGCGAGCGGCCACACAGGGCTAATCAGATTTTATTGATTGACCAGGCTAAAAAGCTGATTTCGCCTTTTGTCCTCCAAAATGCCCGGAGGTGCCTGGTCCTGTATGTGAGGGGAGGGGAGGTCAGCACGCGTTATTGAATGTCTACACGGGCCAAGACCATTGTTGTTCTGTCCTCTCACGAAAACACGGTCAATGCCAGATTGAAATTGAAATTGATTGGCTGCCCGTAAATCTGGGAGGAGAAAAGGATGTGGACTGTCTTTATGTGGTGTGCAGGATGGCTGCTTTGACATAGAGGGTGACAGAAGATGGGGTATGATTTTAGTCTTAAGCGTGATGTCAAAGCACCAGCTGTTCATCCATTCTATCAGGTCAAAAGAAAGATTTTCTGATACTTAAGAATATTAATGAAGGATCAGTATTATTGCTGCTCATCCTACTTAGTAGCCCTCCACATATCTCCCCAGTCAGGCCGGTCACAACTGTCAAGTGTCTGGAAGACACAGCAGTACATTAAAATTAAAAACAACCATTTACAAATGCCTCCTTGAATAATTCAAAACTGCTCCACAGTTTGAGTTAAATATGCAATATTGCTGCCAGCCAAAATCTAATTTTCTTTTTCAGAGGCTACATCTTTTAAATTTGTCACCACTCCATACAAGGCCGATTCGTGCTCCTCGTGTGCACAGCCTTGATGATGAGAGTTTACGGAGAAAGGAATGGCATGTCTCAGATCTAAAGAAGAGGAAGGAAAACGATGATCCCCACCCTGTAATTTTCTGGGGGCTTTTTGTGGGCCAACACCCTGGCTTGCTTTGTTCCGATGCTCTGATCTTCCATGCGTAATCCAGTAACCATTGCCTTATGACCCACAAGGAAACCACCTGCTGCCAAAGATCAACTGAGCGACACCCCTCTCAAACCGTGAAGCATTTCCCCTTAAATGACTCTCAGGACACCTTTTCATTCCTCACATAACATGGGGTACACAGCTTAAAGTTGAAGATTGGCAGTACCTGAAGTACGAGGGGTTCTGGGTTGAATGCCAGAGTCATCAGCAGCTGCATTCTCTCCGTGTCCTTCAGGTTCTTCAGCAGGAAGCTGCCCGAGTCCTTGGTCTCAGCATACCTGCGGACCACCCGGTCCAGCAGCCGCTGTGAGGGGCAGTGCACAAGGTCTGACCATCCCTCCACAACCTCTGGAGTGAGCAGTCGAACGTCCCCGTTGATCCGGGCGAACTCAGTCTTGTACATGGCCTGGACGAGGTCGCAGCGCGGCCTGCCCGTGGCTCTCTTGCAGATTTTCTGGTCGATCTCGGCCAGCTCCTGGTTGGAGCCCAGCCGCTTGAGCACCACGCGCCGGGTGCCCTCTCTGGGCTCTCCGTACTGGGCGAAGTAAACATTCTTGACGTTGAACACATCTAGAAAGCGCAGGCGGCCCCACGTCTCGAAAGAAACCTGGCCGTTCATGAACTTGCGGCACCAGCTGGTGCCAAAGCAGGCGGGACACTTGTTGAGGTTGATGAATCGCCGGTCGGTGAGCTCATTCTTCTGAAAGGAGGCGAAGAGGGTGTGCGTGTTCATCAGCAGGATGACGGACAGCCCCACCAACAACAGGAGCTTCAGACAGCGGTACAAGCGGCCCAGTTTGAGGGGCAGGAAACGCAGCATGATGGGGATGGGCGGGGATGGGAGGTGGGGGGAGGGGGGGGGGGACGGGGTATTGAGGGACAGGGATGAGGTATTGAGATTGTGGTCAGGGAGTGAACCTCAATGCCTCTCCGCCATGGCGCAGAGGGGGGGCTTCTAAAGCGGCAGTGAGGGGCTCGGCTGGCACAGCTGTCCTGTGCCAGGTTCTGGCAGGTGCCAGCGCATCGTGTTCCCGCTTCCTGGTCTTGCAAACTCCAGCCAGCAGTCCTGAAATCAAGTAGAGACAGGAAGAGCACTTACTACCCTGGGAAACATAAAAAGAAAGTACATTTCATAAAATCAAAAATGGCCCCTTTGGTCATGGATAACAATTTGAAAAAGGCTTATTAAATTTTTCATCTCACCCCAATACCTAAAATGCGGGCCTCTAATAAAACACAACGGCACCTTTTCCAGCGTATGAAATTGTCTCACAAATTTGAATTGCCTGGGTCATTTAAGAGATTTCATTACTTTTTGAGACCAAATGAGATGGCCGGCAGCCAGCACAATAAAACTGCCTGCACCACGTCTTTTGGAGAAACAATACCAAACAAAGCCCTCCCGTGCCATCCCACCCCCGTCCCCAAAAGAAGGAAAATAAATAAAAGCAGAGATGAGAGCAAAACAAAGAGAAAGTGATCAAATTAACAGGGACAAACAACTTCCTCTTCGGGCATGAATAAAACATGTAGCAGAGAGAGAAAGTATCCATCACACCCCCCCTCCACCATGCTCCACAAAATCAGGCGGCATCTGCATACCTCAACAGTAACACCGCTCGGGAAAACTTGGAGGAACCTCACTTTGCATTGTGAAAAAAAGTCACGATGTGCAAAATTTAACCTTTGATCAGAGCTGCCCCGCTTTCCCTTTAAACGCGCTTTGAAGTCGCTTCTTTGAAAATAGCTAGTGCCATTGAAATAGCGTTTGTGATCCAGAGGAGAGATGGTGTGTGTGAGGACCCACGCCAGGCAAACCGATGAACCTCACAGTCTGCAACGGGATGAAGCCACGTCAGGCCTCCCAGTCGAGTGTCTTAGAAGGCACTTTAAGAAAGACAATGACTCAGGCCTCACAAATGAGCCAGTCTCAATTAGAGCTCATTAGGACACGCCTATTAAGACAACTGACTTGAGAGGGCATGACTAACAAGGAGGCCCACTAGTGCTATTAGTGCGTGTCAATGTGCTCCTTGGATTTAGCTTCAGATCGAAGTGGCTGAGATGTAGGACGACACGAAGGCTAAACGCGGCTAAGAGAGCAGCGGCTGTGAGAGACACGCGCCTGTGGTGTGTCAGATAAGAGCCGGATACACTCGTTCTTACCTCTCACTTCAGCCTGAAAATATCTTGAGCAGATCGGGCCAACATGACTGATGTAAAAATAGATCGGATCCAAAATAGTGAAGCGAAAAGACAGCTGCACTGCATATTTGTAAAGGAAAGGGGAAAAAAAAGAAAAAAGAAGAAATAATCAGTTTTTCTGTTTTCAGTATAAATATGCAACACCAAAGCAAGGTGAAACTTCAATTTATTCTCTGACCCGAAAATAAGGTGGGGATTAGGAGAGAGACAGTTTCTCTCCGTCTTTAGAGCAGAGACAACCTTTAAAAGAATGTCAAAACCGTTTAAAAGAGACTATGTTTTCTAAAGACAAGAGAGCACATTTGTTGACTTATTCCATCATTATAATTAATTACTCCAGCCTTTAGCGTTGAATCAGAGGAGACTACCTGAACACAGCCCCTCAGGCCCACTCCAAGTCTTCTGTATATTCAATGTGACACAGCGTTTCACTGAGTGAATCAAATGAAGGAGAAAACAAATGCCACATCTTAAAAAGTCCTCACAGTGATGAGTAATTCTGGAAAACGCGTTCAAATTCTTTCATATCGAGAAATTGGTAGAGGGTCTGCAGCAAACCAAAGCTCCAAAATCAAACCCAAAACAACAAAACACCATCTTCATTAAGATTTAAAGTTATGTGTGTGCCCTCAGCTGATGCCGGGAGTGAGAGAAGGCTGATTGCTTGAGAGGAAAACTAAGCGTCCTGCTGTTTCGAGAGCTCGATTCAAGCGCCGTTTACCAGCTGACACCGGCAGTCACGGCACAAACCTATCTGCAAGATTTGGGGAGCCGATATGCCATTTATCTGAGGTGAATGGAGGGCTTAGGGGCCACGTAACACAACCTGCACTGGGCCAAGAAGTAGTTAACCCTTGCAGCCCTTGTGAGAAAGCAACAGGTAGCCAGGCCAAGCTCGAACAAGACCCGAGCACAGCGGACTAATGACATGCACACAGACGGGGGGATACACAGCTGTATCTCACTTCCCTGACAGAGTTAGGACCACCGTTACAGCTACACTAACCGATTTCTCTGTTGCTGCTATATACAAACAAACAATTATGGTGTGAATGAGACATAAAACTCAGTTTATTGCAGGGACGACATGGTAATTTACGAGAGAGATATTTTCCCCGACTAATAACATGAGGAGACGGCTTTTGGGAATTCTGACACTTGTCCACAATTACATTAGTCGACCGCTGCATACTGCTCCAAGGATGAGACCAAAGAGAGGGACTCCACAGGCAAGGTTTTCTACTCAGGTTAAAGTTCACTCTAAACTCTTAAGTCAAACCAGATGCTTCTTACTCCAGCACAGATGTTACCAACTGGAATACAAGGCTAGGGAGATTTAAAGCAGTATTTTCTTTTGGACATGATTCTTTGTCACAGAAAAAGCTGCGTTATATATTAGGCCCTCTATTCTACTACTCCCCCATGGTGGTTGTGCACGAAGGAGGGAAGCACAAAATCAGGAAGCGCACTCTGTTTAGAATAAGCACCAAATTACCTTTCATCATGCACGACCGCTGCCAAAAGCCCGGAAAGAAAGTTTGTCAGCAAACTCGCCCGACAAAGAGTATTGGTGAGCGCTTCGGAAGAGAGAGCAAAGAAAACGGGGCAAATCAAAAGGATGCCTGACTTCTCATAGATGGGAGATGAGTCCCGCATGCAAAATGATCCAAGCCTGGCAGATGTGAGGAGCTGCAAAATGGCTCATTACTGAGACAGAACAGGCACACGATAAAGCAACAGGCTTAAAACAGAATGACAAAGGTCGAGACAGTGGAAGATGACATGGCACTATCCTTGTACTTCCACTATCATTAAAGTTAGATTTTAACAGCACTGTGTGACACTGATGAAAAAAGTGAAAGAAGACGGAGGCTGAAATGGAAATTTCTATTTTGAATAATCTTTTCTATAGCTCTTTATGTAAAGCTGATTTTAGATAATAGTGTACAAGGGCAAAGCTACTCCCAGCCTAAGCCATTTCCCTCACTGCACCTGAGGCTAAACTTCATTACGATGTAATGAAGTCAAGCCACACAAGAACACGCTTGATTAATTCCACTGGAAATGCAAAAGAGGGCAGAGTGGGAGAGGGGTGAAAAGGACTCAAAAACAGAGGATGACTGTGTAAAATAAACGGGACGAAAGAGACATGACAAGAGTCGGAGCTGGAAGACACAAAGATGAGAGAAACCCTGAATTCCTGCTCTTGTGATTGAAATGATTGAAAGCAGCTCACTTGAATACAGGGTGGCGGTTCTCAGTCTCTGACTGGATGAGTCTGCTCCCAAGTCCGCCGGCATTACCTCAAAGCCTGGGAAAAAGCATCATCTGCCCTCCCAACGTCAGCCCTGCCTGAATTGGAACGGGAGGTTCTTACTGAAGAGGAACTACTGCTGCCAAGGTTATTGACCAAGAAAGTCAATAATGTTTGATTACAAAAACATTTTTCAACCACAGCCGGTCAGCCTCAGAACAGCAACCACGTAGATGGTGAAAAATGGATACAAGTCCCAGCAACGTTCGCTCTGTTATTGAGTCCACGGAGTGGAAGTACCAATTAGCTGCATACCCTCAAGGAGCATACGTCCATTCATCTCTGGCCCAAACCAAACAGAGGTTTTAAAGGAAATGTCGATAGTATCTGCTTTGCGCCTAAATGACGCAGCTGTTCAGGAGGACGCATTGCAAAGACTCGCTCTGGACTCCCAAACAGATGTTTGTTTCATTAAAAATAATTCAACAGCTGCACTTTTTTTGACATCCCCCTGTTGGGAGTTTGAAAAGTGGTCGGTCATTTAAAGCCACACTGACGTGAATGCAAAACAAACATCTAAGTGAGGCTTCACTTGCACTGATTAAGACAAGCTGTCAAAACAAGCCGCAGCTTAAAATCGGGAGAAAGGTTTGGCGAGGATAGGAAATACTATCGATTACCTGACATTTCGGGACATTCCTCGTGTACCTCGACTGACAGAAGAAGCTGTTTAGTCGTAGAACAGACTTGCGAGTCTGGAGGTGAAAAAACAAAAAAACAAAACAAGCCCTCCCGTGGGAGCATTTAGGCTACAATTACAAGACGTTTCCCCTGCTGAGCAATCAAAAACATTCAAATCAACAACCAGCAGAATGTCTTAAAGTGAGTCAGGCTATTTTCATATTTTCCTTGTCAACCAACTGAGCAGAAAGGCACAGCATGTATTCTGCAGTTAAGGACATAGCATCCCCTTCTATTCATTAAGATTTTACAGAGTAATTACTTTGGACATATGAGCTTTGCGTTTTTTCTTTTCTTTTTGGTCTTGAAGACATCAAGGGTACAACTTTGCAATACGAACTTCATCTTTATTTTGCACAAATATCCCACATTCAACTCAATTTGGCCTGTTTTCTAAATTATACGTGTATTTTCTATGCTTGACCCTGATTAAGGTAGTAATAATAATAAAAAAAACTGAACAACTTTTTATAACCAAAAGCCACAATATCTAAAACAAATTGGCCGAGAGGAAATCTGTTGAGAAACAAACCCCCGAGTAATTTAGGAACTGTTGCACCGGTTTGGCGAGCAGCTCCAGTAAAATGTTAATGTGGCCTGGGGCTAATCACACCTGTGTTGTTGGCATAGTTTATAATACGACGTGCTTGCAAATGAGACGAAGCTGCACATCACCGGCAGTAAAACTACACCTGTCTATCTGTAGGCTAAATTCTAGGAAAGGCAACAGAGTTGAATCGGATGCAGTCAGTGCCGTGCACTATTTTTTCTTACTGGTCAATAAACTGCGTGAACGGACCTGCAGCCGGTGCGTTTCTATGTTCAAAAATAAGCCGAATGATACTAAAAAATAAAAAGGGTGGTGGGGGGTGAGTGGGGAAACGCGTCAATAACTCATTTTGAGTCAGCGCAGATAGTTCTGCTATAATATAAATAATGCCATGACCCTTTAATAGCAGCGGTAATAAAAAGCCTCCCGTCACCCCACGGCGGATGTGCACATCTGATAAGAGTTTGTGTATGAAAAGCGCTGTCGTGTAGAGTTGTATCTTATCCTTTAATCAAATCTGAGGTCGTAACAGTAACCTTCGAAGTATCAAGTGCCCGTGCTTCACTGAAACACAAAGAAACACGATATGAGCGTATCTGCCTCTTCCAAGTGATCGAGACGAGGTTTCGAGTAACAGCGTAAACGCGCCTGCTGACATTCACAATGAGCCTCCTCACGTTCCGAAAGGAGTTGGTTCGGTGTTCACGCGAACTGCAAAGAGAAGAAACAAATGTGGAACTAACCTGTGAGACTTTTCCCCCTCTCCTCGAGTCTAGAGTAGTGAAATGGTTAGCGCTCAGTTGATATCATTCTTCAAAGTTGAGGCTACTTAAAGGGCGAGCGTCGGAGCTTTAAACCACCACGGACGTTATCTGAGAGGAACCCGGCTCTTCAAAGCCCGGCGGAGACCTCTGTGAAGCGGACTCCCACTGGGTCCCCCTTCCCGAGCTCTTTAGATATCTAGCCAGCTAGCCTGCTAGCTCCTGAAATAAACAGTTAGGATATCGTCTTAACTCTTCATATTCCGGAGCTTTCCGACTGGACGACGCGGTCCTCCTCACAAAGCCCAACAGCGCCCGTGTTAGGCATTAACCTCCATGTCTGTCCGCTTCCACAGAGTCTCTTTGTGGTCAGAGAACTGCCTCCTCTCTTTTTCTCTCCGGCAGTGGTTCACTCCTCTTCACCACCACAATGGGTTCGGTTTTAAATCTTTTCAACACCAGCCTCTTAGCTCTTTACGACACTCGCTCTCTGTTTGCGACAGTGGTTGCTAAGCGATTATTCCAATATTGTCGTGTGCCCCCCCCACCCCACCCAGCGCAAACTTGTTCTATTTATTTTTCTCAATGTCCATGTTAGCCGAAAAAGGTGGGGGCAGAATAGAAAATAGCAACACATCTTGAATAAAGAATCAATTCCATATAGTCGATTTATGAGGAGGGAAACATATTTGGCTAATCTACAGAAACCTTTACGAAGACGGATACGATATAGTTTATAGTGTCACTTTGGGATTTATAAAACAAAAACGAACATAAAACAATTGAAAGACTGCTCCTCCAGCAGCATCATGGCTACAGACCTTGTTTAGTCTGTGATGGACGCACGAGCCCAGCCTGCTCTGGCCGGTATATAGTCTATTTCTCTAAATCACTGAGAATATGGTTAAGAAAATAAAAAAAAACTGATGTGAACATAAAATCGGTTTGGTATCAGCGAAAAGATAAGACTCAGTGAAAGGCTGGATTCAAAGAGGCTCGCAGTGAGGCTCCACTCACGAGCATTAGCGAGTATGTTGCGCCATCTGCTGAAAATGAGAGGGTGACAAACTATTTGAGATATTTCCAAATGCACTTAAAAAAAGGAATGCACAAACATGAAAGTCGATTGATGATTGTTCGTGTACGAGACAGACGGGACACAATTTGATTTGACTGTGGTCATCCAGTTTATATTCTACACCTTTTTTTTTTAAAAACTTGAATTTTACGAGCACCGTTACTCGTCATAATGATAAAAACGCACTTTTGGGGAATATATTTTTTAGGAGACAAAAAGCGACTACATATTTAGCTTACTCTAGTGATGGTACTGTTTTTTGGTTATTAATGTTTGCCACCAGCAGGGCAGAATTTGCACTCGTGGAAGAGAAAACACGGATGTCCAAGTAGTCTTGAATGCATCAGCGGCTGTCAACCGCTGCTCACACGGATGTTGCTGAGCACTGGCTGAGGTCGAGTTGACTCTGCAAAGTTTGAAGCAAATCTCTAAAGATGTCGGGCCCTGTGATGCACGGGCAAGATAGTGCAGCGTTATTTGCCCTTGCCGCTATTAGTTCAGCCCTTTTGACCATTCTCAGCGTTTGGAAGTTGAAACAGTTTAAATATAAGATCATAAATGAAAGTGGAGGTGCGTTGTTTTTTGGTAAGTAGCCTCACCACAGTGTGAAGAGATCAGAGCACGGAAGCCAGTTATTCAAGAACACTTCCTGGATGCACAGCTTAATTCGATTAAAAAACATTAGTGAAATGCAACAATGACCCAACAATTACTGATGATTTTAGGCCATTTTCTTCCAATGTTGAAATAGTATCAACGTGGTTATTTTATGTTAAATAAAATATGAATGCCCGCCTCCACTCAACTGATTTAGTTGACGTCATTAGTGGCCACAGCTAAGGCAGAAGAAGTTTTTTTTAAAGTATGATTTGCTTTTGACTGATTGTATGTGAACTTCCGGTAGGATTGTGGAACAAAAACCTGTCATAACCTTTACATTAAGTGGTGTATTTAATGGCATACACCACTAACACTGAGTTAAAAAAAAAACCCTGGCTCTGCCACAGACACCGTACTTTATGGATGTAAAGCCTATTTTTCTGTTACACCATAGCTCAAATTTTTAGTGTGGTTTTAAATGTTCTTTTTATTTCATTTTAAGCCATTGGAAAATCTAAACTTCAATGAATTTTGTCTTGCAGGCATGTTGCTGGGACTAGCAGTGAGGTGCCTCTGGTTTTTCCAAGGAGAACGTATGGAGAACATAGAGAATGTTTGCACTTGCAATGATCTAAACAGCGCTCCCCGCATCTTGATGATCAACAGCACAGCGCACGGGCACTGTTACCGGCACATTGGGAAAATGAGCCAAAGATGCTCGCCGGCCTCCTCCCCTCACATGGTAACTAATGCAATTTCATTTTTGTGCCTTCGATTGCAGAGCAAACACCCATTCTGAGTAAAACATTCACTTTGAAAAGACACGTAATTACCTTTTCAGCAGAATTGTATGAATACAAACATGAGTGTACAGGAAGAGCATGTACGTCAACAGGGTCCTTTTAATGGCTTTTAGTTATTAGCTTTTCGGGCCATTTTCGTGGTCTGTTATTTGAAAACCAAGGCAGTGGTGGATAGAAAAAGAAAACGGCAGAAGCCAATTTAATCCACATTAGAGTTTTATTAAGGATAAATAGGTGGGATTGGATTTTCAGGTATGCTTTGGGGGCCAAGTAAATTGGATTTAAAAGACTATGTACACAAAAACAATTGTTGCAGCACATGAAGCAGCACATAGGGTCTCATCAACGAGCAGCCAAATTATTAAAAAGATTTTCCTCTGAAATTGAAATTGAGTCAAAAGTTGATCCACGGCAACAACAAAACATGATATGTGAAAAATGTCCTTTCAAAGCAGGCTGTGTTTCCTTCCTATATTCCCATAATGGTATTCCTTTTGAAGGGATTATGGTGTGAGATTGCTCTGCACTGCAAAAAAGATGTGAAAGAGTGAGAAATCTCTGCAGGCACTGTAGCATTTTCCCCTTAAGTACCTCAACCTGTGGAACACAGCCCAGCAATATATATATAATTCTGTTATATGGGATTTGGCAAAAGCTGCAATATAGATTTGTAGGCTGGTTGTGGTTTCCGGGAAAATGATTTGTTTTCCTCCCAGCTAATAATTAGATGATGATTGAGACATCATAACTGGATTGGCTAGCTTAGAGGCCTGCGGTGGACGCTGGGCTGCCAAAAGTATTATTCTGGTTTGCTTTGATATTTTGGTAGTTTGATCAGAGAGGTTTGCCATATTAAACAGCACCCTTCAACAGCGCATTTGGAATGAGTGCATTTGAAAATATATTTTTAATCATGGAGTGATATTTCAACCCAGGAGAGATGAGCAGTGAACCTTGCAAATCAGCCAGGCCAAGTGTAACTTTTCACTAATGGCTTGGACTCTTTGGCCTCTGAAGAATGCCGGGGTCTCATTAGCAAACCAGTGGAAGCTACCACAAAGGCCATTACATCAGTCAGACCGTGTGTAGCTTTCAAGCCATTAGGCCTGATACATAAGGGGACCTAGCAGGGAGAGATAAGGATTTCATTGCATTACTGAGTCCATTATGTGCCACTGGGGAGCTCAGCACTAAAGTTTGTGGTCTGATTAAATTTAGTGCTGCTCAGCTGAAGAGGCAATTAGTGTATACAGCACACCTCGGCCAACCCTGTGGTGCAGGTGGCCCTTAGAATAAATCCACCGTCATATGCATAATTCATTGATTACAGTATCTTTATTCATCTCTGCCATGCAATTTTTCTGTTTATCATACATGGCCTTCATTGATTAACAAAATACAAATATATGGCGCTGTGTGCAGCCAAAAGGTTATATAAAGCATATATAGCTGTACCATGGTTGCTGAAAGATGGAAGCAATTTGTAGCTCAAGCAGCTACTTCAAGTATGAATTATTGAGAAAATTGTGGCTTTCAAATCTCTGAATGTGGGTCTCCAGCATTAGAATGATGTGGTCATTTGAAATAAAAACCCAATTTCCCCCATATTCACTCATGCACATGGCTAAATGTTGCTGAAATGCTGCATGTCCTGGAAATATTACATTTACAGATTTTACAGCTCCTCATTTTCCTCATTCAGATATGAAAGTTATTTAAGCTGTACCAACCCTTTGTATGGAGCAACATCTTGGCTTTGCTCAAAGGTCTGTAACCAAAGATTGTCACCAAAGCATCAAAGAAACTTTGGACTAGAATCAAATTGATATAAGATAAGATAAGATAAGATAAGATAAGATAAGAGCTTTATTGATCTCACAGTGGAGAAATTCACTGGTCACACATCGGTTAGAGTTCAAAAGGAGGAAAAGGTGCATAAAGTACAGCAAAAACAAACAAATATTCAAGGAAGCAACACAGCACAGAGATTTGAGTGACTAAAATATATACAATCATTGATGGCTCACACACAGTACACGTGTTCCACAGGTCAATAAATATAATACAATTGCACAGCAGTTGTTAAAGTGCAGCATTGTACAGTCTGGTAGCAGCAGGGATGAAAGACCTGCGGTATCGCTCTTTTTTTGCACACAGGGTGTCTAAGTCTTTTACTAAACGAGCTGTTCAGCACCTCTACAGTGTGATGCAGGGGGTCAGAGGTGTTTTCCATAATAGATCTCAGTTTGGACAACACTCTCCTCTCAGCCACTTCCTCCACTGAGTCCAGAGGACAGCCCAGGACAGAAGTGGCCTTCCTTACTAGCTTATTCAGCCTCTTCCTGTCCCGCTCTGCGCTGTTGTTGTTATGTTTTTATGTAGAAAAAAATTGCGTTATTGTGCTCTTACATATGTACACACAATAGACACAATAGGATTTGAAAATGGAGAACTCGAAAGGCAATCCTTCATCGAGGCTTCCATTGGGTCACATTGGCTCAGATGAGAGACAGAAAGCATGGAATGTACAAAAACGTATTTTGCTCTGGTTTCTGTTTGTGTTGGAGGTAATGCATGTTTCTCATGTTTTGAGGCTGGGATATTGTATACTTCTTTTAAAGAAGACACATTGTTGTAACTTTAGCATCCACAGGGAAAAGAAATTTACCTCTCTGCCAAAACAGGGCTGCTGAAGTGAACAATGTGTGTGCAGTCTGTCTGTCAGTCAGTCACTGTCAGTAAAAGGAGTTCTCCAGCTCCCAGTGGAGGTCTGACAGTCACCCATACAGCAGCTCCTTTTTTTTGACAGGGGACCTTTGATCCAGAGGTCCTTTTCAATGTGTTCCTGCCACCCATCATCTTCTATGGAGCTTACACTCTGAATCAGGTGAGACCACTGTCACATAGCTGTGCTCTGACATGAAATGAATGTCTAGTTTGTCATGGGAGTTTCTAATTTGATCTGCTTTGAATTGTAGAAACGATTCATTGAGAATCTGGGCTCTGTTCTGACCTATGCTTTTTTGGGAACCTTGATCAGCTGTATATGTATCGGGTAAGTATTTCTGATCTGCTCATCCACACAAATGAATTCTCTTTAGCCACCAAGGATACTCACTGATAAATAGGCACAATGTTATAAATAGGAGCAAGAGAGCGGATAATGCTTTGTTAAAGTTTTGTAAACAGAATTTGCAATTCTTATGGCACGTTTGCCAACAAGCACGGATGTTTAAATCTACCCATTCACCAATTTCCTTTCAGTTCAGTTCAAGTGCTTCATTACTTAATTACTGTCATTAAAAAGGGTGAGGTCATGCCCTTTGTTTTCCAGTAGAGCTGTGTGTGACCAACAAAACAGAAGAAAAAAAGATTTACATAGGACATATTTTTTACTGGATGGAAAATCCAGTGAACAAAGAAAAAACAAAAACATCAATACATCTCTACATCTTGAGCTATTGGTAACTTTAATTCTTTTTATTTATTGACTTGCAGGCATTTGTGTTTTGTTTTTCCAGTTAACAGCACTTTGTGTGTTTTTTTGGAGGAGAAGCACACTCAAATGCTAAAATAAAAACCCTACATGTTGAATTAACTTCTTTCATTCTCTTTATGACATGCTTTAGACTACACACGGTGCATGGAATTTGTTTACTATCTATGTTTTTCTGGTTGTGCTAACTTCTTTTTGCACAAAACATCGTAGTGCAATGTGCATGGATTTATGTCTTTAAAAAAAGTGTATCCAAAATCACAAGTAGCACTAATCAGTAAAGGTCTCTCTAAAGAAATAATGCCTTTGCCTGCAATTAGTCACATTGTACGTGCAATTAACACTTCCTTCTCCTTTTTTGTGCACTGGGCTCATAATTCGGTGGCTGTCTGCAGAGTTTTTTATCTGCTTGGCTGTACATGCCAATTTTTGAAGCAGGGACAGCACAGGTGCAGGTAACAACATTAATTAGTCTTCTGTGAGCGTTCCACTAAGCCGTCCACAGCGCCAGCAAGTGGGAGAGCAGGACCCCGGATCGGACTGGCTGGCTGAGATAATTAATTACACCTGACCTTTTTAAACAATGATAAATTACAGTGTCTATCGAGCTGTAATGTGGACCGAACTTATCAAAAGATGTTTTGAGAGCCTAGAACCCTTTTTGCTTATAGCTGGACTAGTAGAGTTGTATGTGGCACCAATATGAGACAGATGTAGTTTTGCTATTCTGGCCCAATAAAGCTAGATGGCACTCTAAGACTTTGGAGAAAATCCAGGACCAGTTTTAATGTTGCCTTCTTAGTAACTATAGCAGAATGAGATCAGTCATTTATTATTAAGAATATCATTTAAAAAAAAAAGTACACTGATATAAACTCTAATGCCAGTGTTGTTTTTAGGTTTTTGTGTCTATAAGCTCCCTTACTCATTGGGCTAGATTTCTCTTCATACACCACTGTACTTGATAGTTAGTGTATTTTGAATCATCTAGGGATTTTATGAAAAGATCATTTCCATCCCTATTAAGAGCAACTTAAGAATATTTGCATGTAAAGCCATGATTTTGGTGGTGAGCATGTTTTTCCTAAAATACCTGTGATTGTACTGGAATGACCATTTGCAAACTTTGATTCAGTACCACATATTTATAAAACCTAAATATTAAAATGTAATATTTGTTTATTTATAATGTAGGATTATATCTAACTAGAATCAGGCCACAGCTGCATATGTTGCAAAATGAATGTACTGCAGGTGCAACCTCATATGCTTTTATGTCACTGGTTTCTTAACCTCCTGTGATGAGAGTTAGGTTAGAAACAAATGTTTTGGTAGAAATTTCCCACTGTGAAGCTCATTTAATAGCCAGCAGCAAGTCAACCAGCTGGGGGTGTTTGATTGTATTAATTGGTCACATTTCATACTACTGAAATGATCAGCTCTCTCTCCAAACAACAGCGATAGGAAATTAAGAAAAGGGTGTAGGTGCTCATTTTCAAAGAGGGTGTAGCTTTTGGGACTTCAATAATCTTTCAAAGTCTTTCAAAATACATTTTTTACAGACAGTAAAGTCTTACTCTCTGAATAAGACTTTACTGTCAGTAAGTTTCAGCATTCTTAGTCCTGGTGTGAATAGCTGATGTCCACAGTCCTTTTCAGTTTAAAATAATAAATTACCCTCATTGTCTAAGACAGTTTACAAGTCTACTGTTTGGTTAGAAGTGTGTCGGCTGGCAGGTAGTGGACCAGCTCTATTTAAGTCTGAGCCTTCAGGACACGGGGGATAAAAAAATCCACAACTGGCAAATATAAGCTCCTCATGTGCGAAGGTTTATTTAGGAAAAAAGTTATATCCTAACTTTAGTCCTAAATCTTGTCTCGTCATTCTTAATTGCTTGTTTGACGAATGTGTCAAGACTGTAGGAGGGAAATAACCATCTCAACTGCCAAATCACATACTTTTGCTTTCTCTCTGTTTGAGTGCTTACTTGTAAGTAAGAGTCTTTCTTACTGTCTTTGTTTGTGACACACCTACATGTACGCACACACACACACCACCACCCTATCCTCAAATCTCCCTTTAAGATACATGAATAAGGCAGCTTAGTTGCTCAGTCTGAGGACAGTGATTTAAATCCTGGCCAAGGGAACAGGTTTTGTGCCGTCACTATGGTAGCGGAGTTCCCCAGAGGAGACTACACCATATTGATTATTATGGGATTTGCCTTCACTTGCTGCATTAACACTTTGATATACATGAGTTTTAACGAAGAGGCAGGTGTTGCAGTGCTGACTCCTGAATAGAAAAGTTTTTTTCTCATGAAGTGCTGCACTTTCATAAAGGAGATAATACAGTGGTGCATTCTGGGACACTTAGATTTCAGATTCAGTTTAGTGTTCGCCTCCACTGGTGATTAAAAAATATCACAATACCCTTCCCAAAGTTTGAACTTTGAACAATTGCTTGCACTCAAGATTCTTGTATACCTGTTTTATTGTGGTGTATACACTTTGGTGCCAGAAAAAGGAAATGAGAGACCAGGAATAGTTGTTTGTTTAAACCGTTTAACAAAGGAATTTGATAAGTCTACGAGCATGTTGGAATCCAGACATAAGTGAGGGGAAAGACTTGATACACCTATTCACTTAAATGTGGTTAGCCAGCACACTCAAATCTTTGATTGTTTATTTGTGTTGATGTTCCACGTCCTGGAAAAGAGCCCCACCTGCTCGTAGGGTCTGGAGCCTGTGCTTAGACTCTTATTGGGAAGGCCTGCTGGTTAGCGGAGCGCTGATAGAGTCATGCTGGCCTTGGACTCCCTAATGAGTGCGGTGTGTGTCCGTCTGTTTGTCTGCTCTCACGTGCAGGGCCTGCGTCTACGGCTGCACCAGGCTCATGGTGCTGTTGGGCCAAGCTGCCGACGGAGAATTCCTCCTCACCGACTGCCTCCTGTTTGGTGCGATAATGTCAGCCACTGACCCAGGTAGCTAAAAATCTACAAAACAGTGTTGATGTCTTTCAAATGCATAAAACGGATTAAAAAAGGTTATGAAATCATCTGTTAGCAGAGTTTCAACTCAAAGTTTATAGGCTGAAATCTGCTTTCAGTGCATTTGATTTTGACTGCTTTGAATGAAGTGTGTCTTTCTCCTTAGTTGAATGGCAACAATGAAATGGGTGTTCCTCAAGAGCAGTCAGGTCATTTTGTGATGACACCACTACCTCATTGATAATGACTTCACTGCTAATGAATTATTTACAGCAATAAGTGCTTGATCTTGGTAAGTGTAAAAGAGGGGCTGTAGATTATGGTTGAGCTGTCACACTGACTGCCTTTAGTTTGCCATGCCACGCTGAGCTCACCCCCGCTGACCCTAGTGCGCTTGTCACTATGATTAAAATCAAGCCGTAATACACTGAAAACCCAAAACACCAAGACCCCGGGGCTGCGTCTGTGTCGTGCTGACCAAATATAGCACTCTGATTTTCTGAAGGAAAGCCGTTGAAATCCTTTGCTCATTTATGTTCCTTTTAAAAAAAAAAAAAAATTCAAAGACTAACGCAGCATAACACTTCAGACACAGATAAGCGAGAGCCACCAAAGCACAGTGATTGTCTGAACAGAAAAGCTTAATCTGTTGCCGACCCAAGTGTGTCCAAGTAAAATGTTGAACAAGGCTTAAGGGACAACGAAACCCCAATGTCCAATTTTTACCTTTTATGTGTGTAGACTACTGAACTTAAGGGTAGAGGTAGCTTTAATGTCCTTTATGCCTGTAGCAGACAGCAGGCTACCAGGCATACAGAACTGTTTCCATACATAATGCTGAAAGGCCTGTGTTCACAACATTGTCCATCATACATTTATTTTAGGTAGGTCTTTAGTTCCAAATTCATGCTGCAGCGAGACAATGACCTTAGAGATATAGCCAAGCTCTGCTTTGAAAGAAAAGGTGCCGTTTTACAAAGCAGTGGGTGGATTGAATAGATCAAAGTCTTTTCTGTTTGTTGCATTTTGTATGAAGTAATGAATGAAAAAAAATGTATTATTGAAATGATCTTCTATTTACATTTAGTGCCTATGACATAGATACCGATTTTAGGTTATGAAGTAAAGTGCTCTTCACTGATGCCTGATATTCTTGAAATGCAAAATATTTCATGTATATATTCATAGTCCACAGTACAACTTACTTAGCTTTAACCGAAAATTGCAAGCGGCTGTTTATCAGATTGGGCTGGATATTTTTAGTTGCTAAGACTAACTAAAAAATGGGGAATGTCTTTTGTACCAGCAACGTGGGTAAGAACCTGAGTTTAATTCCCAGATTTGATCTAATTAAGGACAGTGTTTTTGTTTGCTTTGTTGAGTTTATTAATGGTGTTAAACTAACTGTCCCTGCTGCAAAGATCACGAGCATTAGATTAGTATTTTTGGCCTGTTCCAACTTATTTAGTTGAAATGGACTAGTGTTTTGAGGCCTTGAGTTTGTCATTTGGCCGTGAGCATCAAATACTGTTTATAAAAGATGAGCATATTCGTCTGGTATGAGAAATTAAACAAATTTGTATGTATTACAGCCAAACCATGGCTGAAAAAAGAGAGAGAGGGAGAATTATCCAAATTAATTCAGTCCGCTAGAAAGAAATAACTAGCCTGAATATTAGGGCCAACTTGAGATAGTGTGTGTAAAAGCCACACACAACGGCCAGATAGCTGCTCACTACATTCAATTGAACTTGGTTATGAAATTTGTGCAGAATTGGTTTTTGTTTCCTTGTTGTGTTTGGGATCAAGGAAACAACTTAAGTTGTTATGAATGGACCAGTATTGTAAGGGAGGAATTTAAACACAGAAAGGCCAAAATGACGGTGTTTACCATCCCCACGCAGATTTTTAAAATAAAATCAACAACTCTTACATTTCAATAGAAAAAAAGATCTCTTGAAATATATTGAAATATAACAGTTTGTTTTCCCTTAAGATGTTTTCTTTTTAGCTGAAAGTGGATAGATTAAATTGATTTTGTGCGAAGAGAGTCCAAGAGAAATGATGAATTAATGACCCCATGTTTGCAGAGAGATACAGTATTTGGGGGGAGGCTGATTCCCCTTAAGAAGGGATGTCATACATGCCTTCCAAATGAGGACTTCTTTACTCAAAGGACATTTTAAAAACTGCTGTACCGAAAACAGCTCAATACGGGCCAACAGCTATCAGTCCACCTGTAGGGGTTATAGTCATGCTGTCCCCTGTAGGCACCGTTGTACATTTTTTGACAGGAATAATAGATGGTGGAGGGAACAAATCTATCTGTGTTCATCTGGAATGATCATTGCTCAGGCCCACTCAACCCAGCCTTGACCTCCCCTCCCGTTATTTCATTATCTCATCTGTCACCAACATCTCACATGATGGTTAATCAACTTAACAACTCGTATGTGATTTAATTGATCTTAAGATGGCAAAGGTGGCTGCATGAGTTTAGAGCTAGACATCCAAAATGCAGCAGCCAACTGTTTTTTTTTCTGAATTCATCTGGAGGATTTGAATCAGTTAAATTATTCTGGTCATGAATTTAAGTTTTCTCTTCCACGAGGCTTCCTACCATGACAAAATTAAGTGATGGTTCACATGCATTGTAAAACTCATGCATTCATTTCTGTATCTTTTTTGGCGTTGTGTATTTGGCATGAACTCACATTTACATTGCTGCCAAGATTACCTGCGGTATCGTTTCGGGTGACTTTCTGTCTGGCTCTGTGAGCCTTGTGGCAGTTTCTGTGTGGAGAACAGTTTTATGGGAAGTTGTGTAAACACACTACAACCTGTTGAAACCACAAGCTGAAACGTCCTGGGGGAATGAATAAAAAATAGACGGGGGAAAAAAACAAAAACACCTTCACACAAACTATAGGGAGAAGCAGTCAAGGTTGTCAGTTGGAAAAATAAATCGCGGGCAAGTCCAAACAAAGCTCAACACGAGTTCAGCAGAGAGCAAAGGAACGTTGCCAGTGTTGTGGAGGAAACACTGAGCTATACTTATTAAAATAAAGAGAGAAAAACCACAACAAAGTCAAAACAAACATTTAATACACTGTGCTTATGACTAACATGCATCGCAGTGGTGATTAATGTCTGGCAGACATTTACCTGTTATTCTTGAACTTTTGTTTTCCCTGATCTTTTTAACTCTTTACTCACAGTAATTGCTGTGGGTGAGCACCTTGAGTGAATCTTGCAGATATTTAAGATCTTATCTAAGGTCCTGCTTTAACGTTTTACTCAAAGAAAATATTTGATATCTATCTGATATTTGAAACGATGATCATGAAGGTCAGTTTGAGCCCTCACAGGGAATGAACTTTGAATGAATGGACGTTCGGTCCTTAAATACCATAAAAACAACAAAAGTAAGGTGGAGAGTTTACACATATGGAACTTATTTTCCTAAGCTTGAATTCAGATTGTGAAAGCAGTTGGTCGGGGCAATTTCCCTCTGACTGTTATTTATTTTGTATCCCCTGGCATTTTATCTACCTGATTTGATCAAATCAGCGAGCAAATCCAATGCTTTCTTACTGAAATGGTCATGAGCTTTAGCTCAGCTAAAGTCCTGCCGCAGAATAATTTGACCTAATAAGGTTTCTATTCCATATTATGTCTTCAATAAATGTCTACTGTCTCTACCTTATGATGTTGCTGTGGAAACTGATGACTACATGACAGCTGTAGGATGGGGTTGCTATGGCAGCACAGCCAACCCTCACCCTTGTGGGGAAAGGATGATTTTTTTTCCTTTTTTTCCATCTTGTGAGTACTGCATGACATGCTGGCATCAGCCAGGCATTATGGGAGCAGGGAGATGGAACAATCCTGACTCCAGGGCCTAACTCCCCCTCTATAGATAAAGGATTTTCCCAAACCAGGAAGAGCTTTAAAGCTGTCAAAGACCAAAGAGCCATATCTGTCAAAACAAGTCCCGGGGCATTAATTGTGCAACCCCATCGTAACGCCAGTCTTCTCCATTCGTAGCTATCTTGCTCCTTGCTGGAATGGTATTTTCTGCTGGGCCAGACGTTGCTGTTAAGCCAATCATTATTCTTTATTAGAAATAAGAAGTCATTCCTAGATTCATTTGGATATTTTTGCCTTCTTGTCCTAGAAGAAAAAATATGCACCCACCAGCATCCTTCCTGCGCATGTCCATTTTTGTGAAACATGAGTCATATTTTATAGTGTTTTTGTCATAATCACTGTGGTTTTCTTGCCTGGAATTAATTCTGCTTTTTTGGGGGTGCTGTTGCAGTGAGCAGTCATAGCCATTACACAGCTATTATTATTTCATTAGACCTGATCCGCCATGTGCACGATTTTTGAATTTATATTTGATTTATATTATTAAGACTGTTGAAAGGTTTAAGTAGAATCCTACAGAAGACAGTGTTTGTTTTCTTTTTGTCTTTTTTTCAATACCTGCTGGATTTCTTACCATAAGCTTCTGCTCCTCATAACTTCTTACTCCCCTTAAGTGTGAACTTAAGCGAAAAAGTAAAAGAAAAGAAAATGTATGACAAATATTTGATTGAGTAAAAAAACAGCAACTTTTGCTCCACTCCCGGTTCCTCTGCAGTGCTCTCTCAGCTTTGCATTGTGCTGTTAATGCTGGATTAATCTTCCTCTTAGGAAGAATCATTTGTTAATTCCATCACTGTGCTCAGAGCTAAGTGGCAAGCTGTTGTCAGTGGAGCACCGACAGCTTGTTTTCTGGCCACCAGCTTTTGCCCAGAGGAGATTTTTATTGGGTAACATGGGACCAGCGGCGTCCCAGTCTCTGTTAAGATAAAGTTTTGAGTGACTTTTTGAGGGCACAGATGTTCAGTCACAGAAACCGCCCAACTATCTGTGGTTCATTAGGAACAGTCACTTTAGATGAGCGGGAATGATTTCAATAGCATGGACTGTAATTTGTGGTAAACAAGGCAGAGCTGATGACTATCGTACCTGTGGATTTGGATGATATGTAAACAAAACAGTGGGAAACTCATTTTTACCTGACAGTGTCACGCCAGAGGCGACCAGACTGTTAGCAAACAGTCAGTCAACAGCTGCATTCTCAGCCACAGTGGATTCCTAAATGCCTCCTAACAAAAATGAATTTGCATTTGAGGGCTCAGTGCAAACACTTGATCTACAGAGATGTGGGAGAATAGTGATCTGTGTATTTGTTACACAGAGGATGACGGATGAACATTATAAGTAGAAATGCTTGACCTATGCGGTGAAGTCTTCAAGCAACAATGACATCTCTGTGCTTTGAAATTCAATATTTCCAGTGGCTTGCACAATTTTTTGGCATATCTTTCCCGATCAAAACTCCACGGAAGGAAAACAAATGTAATAAAAGAGGAACTTCCTGGATGCCTGGGAACAATGGACTTTGAGTCTTTGGGGTGACATCAGGAGGAAAGCGCTTTACTTCCTCCTGGTTTTTCACTAAAGTGGGCTTTAGCGATGTGTTGTAGTCTTAGACTATCTCACCGAAGTGTAAAGTGTTTACCATTTGTTTGAAGTCATTGCCAGTCAGCTGGAGAATTAGACTTGAAACATAATCCAAAGAAGTTAATTTATTAATGATTGGAGGGAAACTGATTATCCCCAAATGAGGGTCTTTTGGAGTCAGAGATGCCCAGATTTCATATTCATAGAAAAATCTAGGGTTTTAGATGGCATTGTTTTTCAAACCGACCCTTTGTGCACTTCTTGGGTTCATTAAAAACGTATCAGATCTTCTGTGCCCAGAGATGAAGTCTGTCTGTTAAATCCCTTCATTTGTAAGTCGACAAGATGTAATTCAAAGGGAACAGGAGTGAGTCCTGCTGGGAGATTTTGTTGCCACTTTTGGTCTGTTCTCTGAACACAGCACTGACCCAAGCACCTGGTGCACCTTCATTCCAGTTCAGTTTGAAGGGTCACTGCAAATCAACCCAGTAGTGCTCAGGGCGATCACCTTCATCCTATGAGGAAACCTTTTTGTCCTGATGGGAGCAGTATCCTCCAGGATGACAATAGACCTTCCACACAGGGCGCATAGGGGTCACTGAGTAGTTTGATGAGTATGAAAATGATGTGACCCATATGCTAGGTCCTTTATGAGCACAAGATGGGAACCTAGTTGGACATTTTATGCTTAGTGTATGCACGAGGTTTTAGTTTCACCTTTTTAAAATGTCTTCAAATGGATAACTTTGGATTTCTTTTCATTGTTGACACTTTGACCTCGTGTTTTCTATCAAATCGCAGATTGTGTGCTTACAATCCTCGAGTGTAATTTTGTTCATAAACATGGTCTTACAGAGTTTGATTTGAGCTCATTAATTTGCCTCTGTGCTGCCCTTTGTTTGGGAGGCTGTAAACACTGAGTGGTATCTTTGCTGAGTTGCAGTTGTGGCATTCAGCGCCCACGTCTAAATAGCACACAGACCCACAGCTGCAAGTTCAGACTTCCATGTCTGCCAAACTTCATTATGCTAGGTGCACTTGTGTGAAGATTTGAAATATGTTTGGGATGAATTGGAAGCTCCAAGGGAGTCGTGTTATTCAAAGCATGGATCAGTTTGCCTGCAGCTCTTTAACATTAGGATGTAATTGGCTTCTTTTGGGTGTTTTAATCGGCTGAAATCATGGCCCCGATCTCTTCCTTCTTCATGCATATTCTCACATTCCAAGTACTCGAGATGTTATCTCCCTTCATTATAAAAACTGCAGCAGTGCCCCAAACTGAAGAGAGCATATATCATCCCGTTCAGTAAACGTTACCTGTGCATGAATCAGGAACACCTGCAGGTGCTCTGTTGTGAATGTAAATCAAATGAAGAATCTGACGTCATTGACAGATTTGAAAGGAATTGCAGCAGGAAAATGTTTTACTCTTGAATGCATCATCTCCTATTTTGTCAACAAAATGGTTTCCTGTTTTTGCCTGATGTTGTTTTTCAGCCACTTAACAATTCTGGGCTTGCTTTGTTATATTCCTGCTCTCATGATGTGTCAGATAGATGATCATTTTCTTCTTTAGCCTGGAGGGCTTTGGAACTCAATTTCCAAAGAGGAAATAAGGAAATTTGACTCATCAGACCACAGTAAAATATTATGCTTTGCATCTGTCCATACTAAATAGGCACAGGTTAAGATGAGAAAAACACAGAAATTTGGATTTGAGTATGTTTTTTTATTATGGTTTTCAATTTCTGTCACTTATTAAGAACACTTTATACGGTAATGCTGCCGTGAAGCCTGAAGATTATGAACATTTAGTACCAGTCTCCAGTCAGTTTCTCCCAATTCTGATGGATCCAGTCACGTTAGTGATTTGTTATAATAAGTCAAATTAAAATGCCAACGATTAACTGCTGCTAATAAGACAACACATCTGGGCTTTGATTAATTTGGTCTTGAATAGATTAGGCCTCCATTTTTAAGCTCTCAGTCATTTGAGAGCTTGTTTTTTTCTTGTTAGGTTATGCGTGTCTTACGTTTTAACTAAACATTATTGTTTTTTTAGAGAAAAATACTATTGTCTGCCCTGCGATGGACTGGTGGACCATCCAGGGTGTACCCTGCCTCTCGTCCACTGACAACTGGGATAGGCTCCAGTCCCCCACGGCCCCATTTGGGAATAAGCAGTTCAGAAAATGGATGGATGGATGTTTTTGTCCGTGTCCTTTCACAACACAAATGTGGACTTTTCTAGCAAGCTGTATTTGATTTATCTCGTCTTGAGCAAACATTTGCTTGGTTTGGTTATTCTTCCTTTTCTAAGTGTCAGAGGCCTCACTGGTGTTAGTGGTCTGACATTTGCTGTTAGCCTTCGCTGTTACCTTGTAACGCTGCTTTCTCTCCCCTGCTGTGTGCTACATCAGAGGTGATAAGTATTCAATGCCACCTGTGCCTTGCAAAAGGCAGAAAGGATGTTTTGTTTATTGTGATTTTGTTATGCCTGCCGCCGTGTTCTACATGAGTAACTTGGTTCTTTTATTTTTTAAGTCGCAGTTCTTGCCCTGTTGTCGGACCTACGTGTAGATTTGGACCTCCGCACCTTCCTGTTTGGCGAGAGTGTCCTTAACGATGCAGCGGCCATCGTTTTGACACAGTGAGTCCTGTTTTATTTGTCAAGGCCTTCAGAATTAAATGTATTTCATGGTTAAACTGTGTGGGAGCTTCTCCAGCTGGCGTTGTGGAGGCGGATATGTGGGGGAAGGCAGGCTGAATGGAAGCTGCCGATTTTAAGGAAAAGGTGTTATTGTCGAAAAAACATGAGCGGCTCGGACACTTCGCTGGTCTGTATAAGCAAGTTGCCTCTAGCACTGTCAGCATCTCATTAAGGTAGTCATTGGACAGGCACTCTGCCGTAGTAGATACACTCTCCCAGTACACTTAAAAAGTCTAACAAGCAATACTCTTCTGTCAAATTTAGGCAAAATACAGCACAAAATCCTCAGGCTCAGCAAAGAAGTCATCCATTGTCCATGCTTGTCAATTCAGTCATTCTTTTCTCTCTTCTTTTACCCCGAACCCTTCTCCAGCAGTGTCTTCAAATATGCATTCACACATTGCAGCCATTGTCTTTTTCTATTTATACAAAGCATGTGCACAAAGCCAGTCAAGTAGACGTGCGAACAGATGGCAAGTAGGAGACAGAGCAGGGACGGAACTCACACATCTTCGCAAGAAGATGAACCGAGTGCAAGAGAGATGACAGAAGTTAGAGATGTATCATTATATCATAGCTGTATTTGCAGTGACTTATCTTAAAACGCTATTACCTTTTCCTTTTACTACGTACTTCACGCTGCTGTCACTGTTTACACTTTACTCATCCTAGGCAACCGATCAGATAGTGCTACGTTTGTTTCTGGAGTGGCATGACCAGCCCTCATGCCATCGCTTGTCACTTGACTGCGTCACCCGCCTGCTGGTTGCCCGGGCACGACAAACAAAGCTGGCCCTTATTAGTGAGCCATGCGGGGTCCTGGCACTGGAATTTTAACGAGCTCCCAGAGCAGCTCAACCTTACGCTGGTGGGCCCTCTCACAGGCCCCAAACTTCCTGCTCTAGCAGCCCTGACCCAGCCACCACTCTAGCAGGTTCTACATTAACATCCTTGCATTGTGAATGGATGCTAACAGCCCCAAATGAGTGAATGCAGCCTTCAGAAGGTCGCTCTGACCGTCTGATTTGCAGCTGAATTAAGTGTGCTAACTTAACTAGAGTCTATTTCCACAGAGGGGATGATAGATTTCCCCTCTTCAGCTCTCAGAGCTCATTGGTGACAGCCTGATTGATTCTCCTCTCTCTGCTTTGGAGATTAAGACACATGGCAGTGTGTCACTAGTGTATCCTAACATATCAGAACAAAAAGCATTAGATAATTAGTCACTTTCTATTATATTGAAAGGAGCATTTTTTGTTAAAAGCACAGTAAAATGACGTTTAGCCTATCAGGTGCTATGTGCGGTGTTTTTCTGGATTTAGCTTTAGCCAGGACAATATGTGCCCTTAACTGAGGAAGACAGCAGTTACTTTGTCTTGCTGACTCAATTGGTTGAAATGAATTCGAAGCTCTCAAATTCCAGTGGGGTACACGGGATGGTCTTTGGTTAGAGAATTTAGACAGCCAACTTCATCAGGTACTCCAGTGAGTGCTTGTCTCTGCATATTTCACAGCAGTCTCGCCCTCCAGTAAAACATGCACACACACACACACACACACAAACACACACACACACATACAGATAATGTTTCCCCCTCCATCCTCCCCATGAGGCCTTTTCTGCACTCGACTTGCATGTCCAAATTTCCCCTCCCCCCCGAGTAAATATTGGCACCAGTGTGAACATGTGAAAAACATTGTGTCGTTATCTCCATTATCAAGAATAGAATTTCCCCCATTTTTTGTACGAGCTACTCGCAGAGGAAAATCATTTTTGACTGCATTGGTTCTCTGAAAGGCATTTGATTTCCTAAGATGGCCATGTTTTCTTATGAGTGACTCCCATAAATTTCACTGAGGGCTTACCTCAGCATAGTAAGCATGTGAATTTATGCCCACTGCACCAGACTGGTTCACACCAACAGGCAGGCTGGTCATATTTCTGATGCCTGCGCTTGGTTCAAAGCCATAAACAATGGTTTCTCTTTAATGTTTCCAGCATTCTCACAACTCACTTGTGCTATATTTGTGCCTCTGGCTCATTCTTTTTTTCTCTTTTTGTATTACTTCTTTTCTAGTGCCATCATCACTTACAGCCAGATGGGTGGAGGACACATCTTCGACCCACCTGCCTTCTTCCATTCTGTCGGTCTTTTCCTAGGAGTGCTCATCGGTTCCCTTCTCCTAGGATTCATATTCACAGTAATAACAGCTCTCATATCCTTTCATCTCCTCCCAACTCTCCGTCCCGGACTTAATTATCACCTCAGCATCCGCTGCGATATATCCACTTCCTCAACTTGGTAATTACTTATCTAACAAACCAGTACTGTTCCACTTATATCAACAAAAGAAACAGGGTTGAGTTTAAAGTGCTCCAGTTACATTCGTGGTCACAGAGGTGTTGCCAATCACAGCAATAGCTGATGATGACATTTCAACTTGTGCTGGTGTCCAGTGTTTCTCTCTGATCTTCTAGTAATTAAACTTAAGGATAAAGAATGAGGACCTCCATCGTGCATTGTTTGGAGCGGCACTCAGCTCTTATTTACTGTGACTAATCTCAGGGTACAAGCAACCCACACAGTGAGCGCTTATTAGATTTAGCTGAGACCAACCATAGTAAGTGACTGTTCTGTGGTGCTCACTCTGCAAATAGCAGTTTCCTTAGGGGTGCCTTTGGTGAATAACAGGCCATTAGTGCGCTCTTCTTGTGTTTTTTATGTGCTACATTACGATTTGAGGGAAGAGTCAGCAGTGTGACGGCCAGAGTTTCATACGTGAGGAACTTCTGGAACTACTGTTTGCAGGAGTGAAACTATCATTTAAGAGCTATGACTCAGAACGAGATTCCCCCTACACAAGACTTCAGGAAGGCATTATTAGCTGTTTGCTGACAGTCAAATACTAACCTGTTTTTCCATCTGACCTCAGTGGGAGCCGCTACAGAATCTTTGTCTTTGCCTTTAGTCATTTGTACATGTCTCATCAGCTCAAAGACTGTATTTGAACTTGTTTGGTATTTTCTCCACTAGTCTCTGCTGGGTGTATGTTTTCCCCCCTGACACATGCAGAGCTGCAGCTATGGTGCTGCTCGGTGTGCACTTTCCCCCGTAGCAGACTGAGTAAACTTCTATGCAGCAGACATACAAGGATCAGAGGGAGAAACAGCAGGAGAGAGACTGCAAAGTAAAGAGTAGTTAATCGAGCTGGTGACAACTTGTTGGGAAGCTTTTGTGATGTAACCCTTGTTCATCAAATGAAAGAGGATCCACTGTGTGTATTCATAGATCTCCAAATTCTAGCGATGGAAATTAATCAGAAAAATCTAACAAATTCAAAGATAATCTAATAATTGATCAAACTAAAATGATTCGATATTGATATGTAATATTTATTTTATTTTATATCCGCAAATCTCCCCAGAGCTATCACTGTCAAATCCTTGAATCCGAAACAAAAACAGTTTTAGACCTTGTTCATGCTAAGCTTAAAAAGTCAAAGCAACGGCATGGTGATTGAGGTCTCGCATGTTTTTAGTTGTTATGAAAGTGTTAATGGGCTTCATAATGCTAAAGGGAATACAATTAGCAAACCAAAAACTAAAACAGTTATACTTTAAACCCAGACTTTCTGACCTGTCATTAATGAAAAAGTCAAACCTGTGCCCATTTGCCTGGCACACAGTGTAAAATGGGACTTTGAATAAGCATTGCCATTGGGGATGTGGAAAATGTGATGTGAAGTGCTTGCAGGAAAAAGAAACTCATTAAGGTCCTGTGGTTACTCTATGTGTCAGTTCCCCAGGCTTATTGAGCACCCCTCTGCATTTGCTTTTTATTTGCATCTGCAGTACTGCAGTATTTCTTCATTTCCAGACTGTTTCACTGGAATACAAATGTGTACATTTGTATTGCAAATATAGCCCTGTGAGACAAAAAAAAAAGATGATTATTTTCTTGCAAATCTTTAACTCTTTCCACCTCACCAAATTCACACGACTGCATGAGAAGCCCCTGTTGGAAACATCAATCTTCTTTCTGCTGTCCTGGAGCAGCTTCCTCTCAGCCGAAGCCTCTGGACTCTCAGGTGAACACTGTGTGACTTATGTTTGTGTGTTTGGGGCCACATCACAAGTCTTTGTGGCTGGATCAGATTTAATACAAATCCTGTTTGTGAAACGCTGCCCTTATCCCCTCAAGCACACTTTCTCTGACTTTTTCTGACATGCACACGGCTCCCCACTATCAATGACAGGCAGTTTGGCTCTCAAGCGCAGATTCTGTGATGTGGATAACTTGCCTTTTACTTTTTGCAAGGCAAAGAAAGCACATTGAATAGAATGTTGTGAACCATTTTTGTTTTGCTTTGTCTGAGCAAATATCACTACCTGTTGCCATCTGAGCATGTTAGTGCCTGTAGCTTTTGATGATGCCACCACAGAAAGCAACGAGCAACAGCAAGATAACAACTCCTACCATGTTCATGTTTTTGCTGTTGAAAGAGACAATGAAAAAATTAAATAAGGGCTCTTTTGGTAATGAAACACAAAACTCTGGTTCTCTTGGAAGCTTGTTTTTTTAATCTCTCCCTATATCCACTGCTTACCTTAGCAAGGCTAAATCACTGACGATTGTGGTAAACTGCATTATAATTACATTGCAATTAAGCAAATTAAATAATAATATGATTGAATTCCGCTGCACTTGGCTGCAAGTGTCTTGGTATGACTTTTGAAGTTATTCGGTGCTGTTTCAATAGAAATTAATTAAATTGTGAAATGGAATTTTCTACCATTATATTCTGTATTTCGCTTCACTGATCAATAATCTTAGGTTGGTTGAATAAGGAGAATAGCAATTCTTGGCTTTGGTTTCTGATATTGCCTTCACCTGCTTCCTCACTGACCATTGTGATGCTAGGTTGAATTATTAATGTACTATTCTTATTCAAGGCCTTTTTTCCCATCCCTGTGTCAGAGGGATTCCACTCATATACCCGTAGAGCTCTCTCTTGCTTGGCAGTGCTTCCATTGGCCTGTGGAGGAGTAGAAGATGGTTTGTAATGGAATAGCTTGACCTTTGTCGGTTGCATCCAGATGCGCCGTCTATTAAATGCACCCTCAGATTGCTGCCAGTGTTGGAGTCATGCTATCTAAACCAATGTCAAGTCAGTTAGCTTTCTCCATCCATCCATTATCTGTACTGCATATTCCTTTTAGGGTTTTTGAGGGGGGTGGGGGCTGGACCCTATCCCAACAAACTTTGGGAGAGAGGCCGGGTACAACCTGAACAGGGCGCCAGTCAGTTAGCCTTTTGTTTTTTAAATTAAGATTGAACAAAATGCTTCATTTTAAGATGTTCGACTTTTCATATGTCATTGAATGCTGTCCATCTTCTTATACAGAGAGACGCGTTGAGAGCTCCTTTGTACCATTTTGTAACTGAAGCTCTTTCTGTATCCTCTGAGTTCAAACACGGAGGACGTTAAACCAACGATGAACTATGAGATTGACCATGCCTGTGTTGAATAAAAGTGGAAAAGACATTGTAAACAGAGATTCTTGGACTCAGCTTTGAGCAGGGAGAGGCCAGTGCATGATGTGAAGCCAGATGTTCCAGATGAAGCAACAGACTGCCTTCATTTACCCAATGGTGCTCCCTCTCCTCTACTGCTATGTTTATTACATATATCTTGTTCCTCTTACTATTGCATCCCCTTATAATGATTTCAAATTTTTTTTCTCCATTTATGCGATTTTTCTCTCAAAGTCTAGTCAGTAAGAAAATGTGAAATTGGATCTGTGCAACAAAGCAGACATGTCCTGAGAGGCAGCAACCCACCTTTTATGCTCTGTGCTTCAGCTGTCTGATCCAGCCAGCTTCCTTTGCAGCAGCAGGGGCTCTAATCACTCCCTCCACCCTGTTTTCCCTCTGAAGAGAAACCTTAGTTCTCTGCATTTCTCCTCTCTTTTGTTCTTTTCTTTTTTCTTTTGTTCATTTCTGCTTCTCCACATCTGTCACCATCAGCTGTAATTGCATTACCTTTTAGGATTAATTATTCTCATATGTTGATTTGTTCAGTTTTGGAAAGAAAGTGAAGGCTTTGGCAGGAAAGTCAGGGATGCTTAAGTGGGGTTGGACAGCATATTTTTATTTAAACCATTTGTTCAGCTGTTCTTGAAAACAGAACCGAGGGTGGACACAGGGTTGGGTCGGTCTGACCTGGTATAAGTAGCTGCACACAGGAGGATTTAGTTACATTCTTAGACTCTTGGACCATTGCTTGCGTGCAATATTCAGCTAAAACAACACCCAAAGTCTGTTTTCTCTTTGGCTTTAAGCCTTGGTTTAAAAATGCTAAGTCCATCCAAGCAGTTTCCAAACACGCAGAACTCAAATTAAATTTAGCCAGAACACAAACATAGACATTCTAAAACCCTGATATAAAGATGAATCCATACGTAATTAATTTTGTATTTTGCATGCTAATCAGGGACGGCTCACTGTTGAACCAAGGTTGATGCTCATATCTGGAGACCTTTTAGGAGTTTGATAAATGTCACTTGCATTTGCCTTTGTTTTGCAGGTATAGTAGCCGTTATGTTTTGTGGCCTTAGTCAGGCAAGGTACACAACCCTCAATTTATCACCTGAAGGCAGCACAAGGACTAAGCAGGTATGTTTGCATATGGCAACTGAAGCCTTTTTTCTTTGCCCTTTTGTTCTACATTATTTGTGCATATTTCTTTTGAAGCAAGTGTCTCTTCCCTTTTGTGTGTATGTAACTGCTCATTAATTGCCATTAGTTGTCTGCCTCTCTGGTGGGTGTATGTGTGGGAGACCAGTGTCTACTTGCTTAGAAAGCTGAGCACAGATGGAGGCCAGCACACTGTCACACTGTGCCGGCAAGTTACAGAAGAGAAAATAATTCAAAAGTATTCACATGTATTTATCTATGTATTTATTATTAATTTAGGTGCCACAGTGGAGAAGCCTTCTAAAAAGGCAGCTTGGTTGATTGGCTGGGCGGTAGTCACTGTATATATATGGCACAGCATGTTTTCTTGGCTGAATGTTTGTATCTACATTTATTTTATCTATACATGCTGCTCCAGCTCAAAGGAGAAGATGACATGACTTGCAAAGACATTGGATAAATAGATCATCTGACAAATAGTTTTCTCTGTAGCATATGTTGTCCTTGTGATATGAAATTCCAAAGGGAAAAATGTGCTTTAACTGAATTAGGTACATCTTTAATGGAAACTTTGAACCAAAGGTAGTTTTACTCATCACAATGGGGAGTTGATCAGAAAAATGATTAGACCCAATATCGATCTTAAAATACATTTGTTGAATCAGTTAAAATGGAAATGCCTCCATCCAGTTCTTCAGATTTTTTGTAACGTAAACAACACTGGCTTTTTTTGGTGTACATCAGATCACAAGGCTGAGGTACTGAGCAATACCAATCCTCTGTCATGATTCGGGAGGTGCCTTGAGTGGGTGGCTGCATGTTTTTTTTAGTGCAAAAATCTACCCTTGTATTTTTTATAAAATTCGACAGCCATCGAATTTCAAATAAGGTTCCTTTGTGAAAAAAAAAAACACGTGGCAAAAACAATTCAAACGAATGCAAGCACATTGTGCCCTTGAGCAGCAGGTGTCTACAGGTGCTTCCTCAAATAGAATAACATCCACAACAGGTTTGTTGTGTTTGTACTAATCTAAGCCTGTTTAACCATTCTGGTGAGGATCAGAGTCTTCTGCTTCCATTTTCCTCATCAGAGACACCTATACACCCACACACCGAGCATTAGAGCAGAGCTGTTAACTGCAGTCACAGATCTGATGAATTCAAACACTAATGATATCCAAAATGTCACTTTGACTCAACTGTAAGTAAAAGTTCTCTGAAATGAAGGTTCGGTGACTTATTGTCAGGAAGCGCATTGAAAGGTGGGTGGCAGCACTCGCCCATATGTGGGTTTAAGGGGGCTATTTTTGTGACTTGTGAGTATGCTGGCCAGTTATAAGAGTGATCTGGATTTGTACATTGTGGATTATAATTTCCCTTTTGGATAAATCAAGAACGTTTTCTTTTTTTTTATTCCTCTTCATAGATGTAGTTACAAACCAGACAAAGAATGAGTACAGTTATAATTTAATTGTCTTATATGGTGGCCAGATCTGATTTTTTATTACCTTAACCTTGCCCTGAGTTAAATTTTTTGTAGATGTTGACCTGCAAAGAGTTGTTGCTCCCCTTACCTTTCTTTGAGTTGAGATGCCAGTGACTCAGTTTGACATCCTGTTTCATGCATGACATCTTCATATGCCCAGCTTCACCTCACAGTTTAATGAATCTGCTCATAGAGACTTGTTTGTCTCTAAAAGAGGACTCAAGTCCCCTCAAAGTGAAGGCTTAAATACATTTATCATCCCAAAAGTAATACAAATTTACACACAGACAGATAAAACCTCACACACACGTAGACACACACCAGCTCTGAATCACATCCCTGTCTTTGATGACCTTCTCCCTCATGATCGTCTCAATTCCTTTTTGTAATTTTCAGTTCTTTGAAGTCCTCAACTTCCTGGGGGAGATTTTCATCTTCAGCTACATGGGATATATATTGTTGACGTCTACTCACCATGTCTTCAAAGCTCTCTTCATTCTTGGGGCATTTGTATCCTTTTCTGGTGCATGATGGAGCATTTTCACCACCTGCTGTGCACTCTTTGGATTTCAGTCAGAACCCACACTGTTTCATTTTGTTTGGACTATTTTACCTTAAGTCATAATCTTATCTTCACAATAACATGCCACTTATTACATAACAGTTGTTTTGCTGTTCTCAGTCTTTCTTCTTTGCTGCAGCATTCGTTTCTTCTCTCTCTAAAAATATGAACTTGTGCAAGTTTGAATTATTAAGTTGCATATGTAGAAATGACAGTAACAGTGTGCAATTCTTTTTTAATTTTGGTTATTTAAAGACACTGGCTCTCCTATCCAGTACTTCTTTTCTTTTTTTTATGTGCAGGATTGCAAGATGTTAGTTGTTGGTCCATGTGGTTCATTTGCAGAACAATAGACAGAGCCCCATGTTTTGAGCTCTCATTTGACAGCACAGCTGGTAAACTCCCTTTAGAATCTTCAACGTCTCTGCGTAAATGTGGCCAAAGTCATCATCGGAAATTCCTACAATTCCTCAAGTTGCCTCTAACGCTAACACTATTTATTCACAAACCTGGACAATAGCACTGTGCAAATAGCTGGTGACTGATTCATCTCTGAAACACAGAGACACTGATTGGCAAACTGAGCTCAGTGGGCTTGATTACCTCACCATGCATATTGATACCTGATTAGCCCCTGTTACACCCATGTCTACTTACCAAGACACAAAGCAAACTTTTTGGGGTGAGGTTTACAGAGCATAATTTTTTGACCAAGCGTTTTTCTGAACTTCCCAGAGATCTCCATTATCATGAAGCTTTTTCATACCTTAGTAGACGTACCTTTGGTCGGCTGTCTAACCCAGCAGCTGTAAAATGTAAAGGTAAAGACATACATGTGCCACTCATACACAAGTATGATTTATCTTTTTCCCATTAACTGAAATATGAAATATTCTATTCAGTCTCATCTGCTTTGTAAGGATTTTTTTAGGACTGTGTGGCAATCTGAGAATGTTTCAGGTTGAATTGCAGAAAATTAGAAAGGGTCTGAAATAGTTCAAATGTTGCTGTACACGATATTAAAAAGTCAAAAGCTACTAAATGATTCAGGTGAAAATCATACAGTCTCACACTCAAAGCTGCTGCTGTAGCCCTCAGCTTTTCGACACGAGGGAAACGAATAGGTAGTAAGCGACTTCTGGTTAGCCATTGTACAACTGTCCTTTCCAGGATCCTGTGGCTGCACTCCAAGGAGCTGTTCTTTCACAGTTCACTGCCCAGATGGCCAGCAATTATTATAACAATCCATCTTCCTCCAACCGGTCAAAGGGGCCGGAGAAAGCATTGACTGAGCGGTGTCTTTTTTCTCAAAGCTGTAATATTTAGCATTAAGGGCTGCCTGCGGAGAAAAAGTCTGACTTGAGACCATTTGTCCTCCATCCGGCTTCTGCTACGAAAGCCAGAAGTCCTTCAAATCTGGCAACCTACACCCACGGGAAGCTGACACGGATGTACAAACAGGAAAACTTGGGGTCAAAGTCATCTCTTTGAGCCGTGAAGATGTCTCTGTAAATGAAATAACCGTGGTGATTTAACCCCCTTAATCACTCTGTGGTTATTCAGTAGATTTTAATCGCTGTGGCTTGCAGTCTGAGCAATTGACAATGGAGATAGGGTTTATTGGAAATGAGGTTAAGATGAAAGTGCTTAATTACCTCCATTCAAATAGCTCAGAGGCCTTTGATAAAGAGAGATGGCTGCTTTTGGGAGCAGGATATTGCTTTTGAAAATCCATAGGGTGCATGAGATCTAATATTGACTGCAGGATGTGAGGGAGCTCTGTTTTAGTAATAGCCCTGTCAGACGAAGGTCCCCTGCGGAAGATATTGGTGCCTTTTAATATTTCTTGCATCACGTTAACATTTTCCTTGAGAAAATCAGAAATAATTTCTCTCTGTGAAGCTAAAGTGAAGTTACCTGTCTGCATAAATGCATGCCAATGAGGGTCTCAAAATGAGCATGATGTTCTTCTGCCTGCTCCTGCACCTTTACTCTGGACTAACTGTAGGTGCCAATAACATGAGCCAGAAAAACAACCTCAGGCTGCCTTTAGTTTAAATGAGGTTAGGAGGTTACAGAGGGCGAAAGTAACTTTTTCTAGAAGTGTGACAAAAGCTGTTAAGTGTATCTGGGATGGCAGCTATGACCCTGATAATTGCTCAGATATCCTCTTTCTTACTGCTGCCCGGGACACTTAGCATTCAGTCCCATCCTGTGTGACACATCAAAGTGTGTGTGCAGGGCAGAGACAGCTGGCAGTGCCTGATTGGCTTTATGCCTCGGCATGGTGCCACACCGTGGCGTTTGCATCCTAAGAACACAAATCTTCAAAAATCAAATGAAATTTTTCATGTGCATCTATGCACCCACGCTTGCAAATGCATGAAAATATAAGACAACATTAACAGCAACTTTGCATAAATACAGTGGCAATTTACTGTACCCAATTCTCAAAATAACCCAACAATTTAGAGTACAATCTCTGTGTTTTTGCAGTTTTTCTTCTTTTTGGAGATTTTGCATAAATACTGCATTTTTTTTTTTTTTTTGCGAGATGTGTCATGTTAAATTTTGTCATCCACAAAATGTTTTATTTAGAACTTTCTTTCCTCTGTTTGTGTGAACAGAGGGGTTTCTGGGATTTTTTTCCATTAAAACTTTTTATCTGTCAGCCTCTGATAATGCTAAAACCACATGAAGTGAACTCATTTGAAAACAATGAGCTTTCCCTCATTTTCATAGATATCTTTTCAAAACTGAAATAGATTGCCTCAAAAATGCTTATGGAACATGTTTTTTTCCATCCAGACCTGAAATATAAAATGGCACGCGTGTTGCTCCAGGTCACAGAAGATTAAAAATATTATTGTTTTTGTCTTTTGATTGTTTCCTTATCTGAAAGAGTTTTGTTGTTGTGTTGCCTCGTTTCTAGGCAAATTTCGCTGAGGTGAAGGGTTTTTGGGTTTTGTGAAATGTATTTTCTATTTGTTGGAGTAGTATGTGTTGATTCATTTTAAATGCTGTTGTTTATCATTCCTTAAATTCCCTAATTTGTACTGAATAATTACAGCTATCCATCTTTATTTCAAGAGCATGCAACATCTACCCTTTGTCTTTCCTGCTCAATCTGGGCCGTACAAACAGGATTCCGTACACCTTCCAGCACTTCATGATGTTTGCAGGTACTGTTCTTCAGATCATACCTGTACTGTAGTGATTCATTCTCCTGTTCATTGCTTTGCCTTCTGCGGCTGCGGCTGCTGGATGGATTAATGTTGGATTGATGATAGCATTGCCCTAAGAATAAAAGTGTTCTAGCTTTTCTCTGTGATTTATCCAATGGTTATTCCACTCTACTCCCCCTGCAGCTTTGTGTGAGTGAGGATGCTGAGAGAACGTGTCCCCTGTGGAACAAGTGTGAGAAGATGTGTGTGTGTGTGTGTGTGTGTGTGTGTGTGTGTGTGTGTGTGTGAAGTCACCAACCTTGCTACAGAAGTCCTTTCTGCATTAGTCAGTATCGACAGCTTAGCCTTTTCTATTCGGGTAGCCTTTATTTTCTACAAAGCTCGTAAAATGTGATTGAACCGTAATTCGTGGTTTACGTACGGAGTATTTTGATGGTGAAGAAGGAATGAAAGATTTTTTGATGGGTTTTGGAACAGTGCCACAATAGCATGCAACTGTAACGGCATGTAGCTGCCTGACCCACTTTACCTGTTATGCAAGAGACCTTTTTTTTTTTTTAAACACCTTGTATTTTTTTTCAGGAGCCCTCCACCACCCCCACAACCGACACCTCCCAAACTTTTTCCAATTGAATTGTTTTTGGCTCTCAGCATTGTGTTAACACTGTACAGTAGTCTAGTTTTTCTCTTTTTTGGTTTGTAGCTGGCCGGCAAATAAATAGTGTCGGTAAGAGTCAGATTGTCAGAAATGAGCTTTGGACAAGGTTAAGAAGTAGATTATATTTTCTGTGCAGCTTTTCTCAATAAATTGTGCTGGATTTGATTCCTGACATTATTACAGCTTTTTTTTAACAGAAACGGCCTTCTCTGCCCTCAGGTATGAGAGGGGCTGTTGCTTTTAGCCTGGCTGTGAGAGACTCGTCCACTGGAGCGAGGCGCACCATCCTCAGCACCACCCTGCTGCTGATTTGCTTCACTGTCTGGGTTCTGGGTGCAGGTGCCGATCTGCTGCTGCGAAGTCTGGACATCAGGTCAGTACAAGGCAGGACAGACTAGATCATGCTAACGTGTGTCATTGTGTTTTTTTGGCCAAATATGTAAAGACCTAAACATGATTGGCACGCCTATTAGACAATCCCGACTCTGCACAGCCGCTCTTTGCCAAATTATTCTGTGCATGTTTGGATTCTGTCCGTCCTTCTCAGCGCCGTTCAGCCCTGCAGGCTCTGTGCCTGAGCTCCAGCTCTGCCCTCCATTAGTGACTTCCACATGTGGTGCACAGACCAAAGGAGGCCGACAGGTCCCTGAAAACATATTACAGAGGATATAACACCGAAATGCAGCTCGATATTCCGCGCGCATAAATGAATTAATACAATACAAAACAAATCTGGAATATGATATAATGAGATATGTAATGAGGACACACATAGTGACTGCAGATTTTTCCTTTAAAGTCTGAGCACAGTCTGTGTTTCAAGGCCAGTTGGCGATAATGATTAAGGATTGCAGAAGAGGCGGGAAGGATGCAAGGCTGTAATTAGTTACTTATGTTATTAAAGTGTAATCTATGGCCTAGATCACTCTGGTATAATTAACTCCCACAGCCTTTGGAAACAGCTTGTGTGGTGTCTCTCTGTAAAGCTTGATGTAACTGTTTGAAACGTGTCAAAATCTGGTAAAATATAATAAAAGAACCAGCACTGAAAGGGATCTCATCATAATTAACCAACTTCTGAAAAGGATTTTTTGAGGACCTGTAGAAAAAGAAATAACTTTAATTGAAAAGCATTGAGCATAAAGATTTCAGAATACAAAGAAATGAATGCAGTGACACTTATATAAGATATATTTAACTAATTTAATAAATGATAAAAAGCACAAAAGCATTAATAAGATTTTTAAAATCCAAGTAAGTAAACGTAAGACATAATTCCAACACATCAATGGTAATTCATCAATATTAAAACGAGATGTCAGCGCCACATCACTGTGTGCACACGAACAGCAACTTGGCTGTGCAACATCGTTTTTCTGCTATTTCAGGTTACTAGTACGCACTTGATATTTTGGCTGTGACTACTTCTGTTGCTGAAACGGAGACATACTAGCTCTACCTCAACTTGAAACGTGATTAATCCTCTGTATTTTAACACGCGAGACAAGGCTTCATAGATTATGAAAACATTATCAGACCCATATTCAACACCCAGTTTGAGAAAGGTTTTGAAACACATTAATTGATTTCGTAGTGAAAGATGGAAATTGGTTAAACCACCTTGAGGAAGATAAGATTAAAAGTGTTTTTAAACTTGATTTCATGCTATTTTTGAATTGTCAGGTCGAGTGCAGTGACTCAAATATCCCTGAGTTTTCGCATTGAAAACATAAGAGCCCCCGTCCCCGAAAAAAAGGCAGTCAGGAACACAAGGTAGTTTGTTAAGTGAAGCAATATGTGGAGCTACCCTGTTTGTTTGTAATGAATAGCAGAGTGACTTTGGTAAGTGAGTCGGCCAAAGTGTTTGTTTGAGCTTTTACCTCCAAATACATTCCATTCATCTATTGTTAAGCAGACAAAGAACTGGTATCTGTATAAAATCAGGCAGGGTACGGGATTTATGTCTATAAATCCCTCCCTCTTGTTTGTTTTGTTTTTTTTATCAATTTGTTGTTCCTACACCTGATCTTATCATCATTTCCTGCACTGAAGGGTAGCGTTTACACTCAGCAGCTTTTTTTTGCATTTGTCCGCTTGAAAAAGATATGTGAAGGTGAATCAATGCTCATGACAAAATATAACACTGAATATTTTTCAACCAATAGTTTTAACTATTAGTAGATTGATAAAGTACACATACTGTATACATTTTTCTCTTTTCTTTCCTTGGCAGACACAACACTGTTACTATCCTCATGACACTGCTTTCTCTTTTCGTGCTTATTACACCTCTGGAGCTGAGCGCAGTACAGTGTTCTGGGCCTTCAAGGCTGTCATGTTAAAAAAAAAAGAACTTTGTTCTCTTCAGTTCAGCTCCCAAACTCCCCTATTGCTTCTCTTTCCTCATCTCCCATCCCTCATCCAACCCTCTGAAGCACAGGAACATATACAAAATTTGAAAGGTTTCAATTTTGGTGAATAATACATTACATTTCTGTACCTGGGGCAATTTCAAAAATCATTTCATCTTTGAAGCAGTTTGAAACTTGCGTGAAACAAGTTTTTTTTTGTTTGTGCCAGTTGTTTGGGTTCAGAAAGCCTGCACTTTCAAAGGATGCACACAAATTGCTCCGGACTGTGTGGTAACAAAGACGGGCATGGCCAAGATTGGACAGTGACATCTGACAACAATCTAGACTTCCAGCTTTGGTTAATATATTCAGCCTCAGGCTGTTGTTGTTCTTATATTCAAGTTCTAGTACGTGAAGTATGTAGAACTTCATGCAGTTAGTAGCAACCAAATTATCAAGTTGAATCTTTTATTGGCCAGTTCCGCTCAATGTGAACTTATAATCTACAGGAAATAGTTTGTAAAAACAAGGCAGACGAGAATTCAAGGTGCAGAAAAGTGAGATGATATAAATAGCAACATTATCTGTGCAGTATGCAAAGGTTTTAATGTTAGTTCTGCCTGCCGTCTGTGCAAACATAAGCAAATTTAGACTCTGAGAAATTTGCACTACAGGGATGAGTGGAGCTGGGAGGGGGAGAGCCATCTGTCTGGCTGGAATATAAAACTCACGTGTTTTGGTCGATGTTTCAAAGCTCAAACAAGTCAAACGCTTGCAGTAAGCTCACATTTATGAGACTGGACTTCCTTAGACAAAATGGCCTAACTTTCCCTCTCAACAGTCCTCTCTCTATGTGAGTCTCAATTTCAAGGTACTTTCTTGCCAATAGCTGAGTTTTATCACGCTGTTCAATCTACAAGACTGAAAGTTCTTTGCATTATGCAATCAATTATGTTTATTGGTATTTTTGAGCCCAGCTAGTCATGAAACTGGTTCCTGTTTTTCTCTCACACACCAGAGACACTATCACTTTCACAAATCCAGACACTTCACAATGAATACTTATATTATTCTGTGTTTTTCTCTGTGGTCCAAAGATGAATAGTTAACCTTAGAGCGATGGAGCACAATCTGGACACATGTTGATTGTTAGCCTGAGCCAACAGCCAATTGACATCATGACAGTTTTTTTTTATTCATATAGGTAAAGCTGGGAGGTTATAATTGATCCTTTCTCTGATACAAATATTGAGCCTTAAGTGCTTTCAGATCCTTGATTAGTTGGCACTAAACTGTATATAAACCCTTGCCATTGATTGCTTTATAGAGCAAATATTCTACCAAGGCTAATATGGTTATTTACACTATTTAATAAAATGATCTACATTCATCATAGTTTAAAAAAATTATTCCTTACTTTTTTCACGCTCAAATTGAAGGCCTCAAGAATGGCTTTTGATTAGACTAAGTAGGTGTTTTTGATAGTGTAGATGAATGCTGCAATTTCAGAATCATAGTTTCTGACTGACTGAAGGTTGTGCTCTTTGCTTTAGTGTGCTTCCCAGTGTCTGCATCTGTGTCTGTCTGTCTGTGTGTGTGTGTGTGTGTGCCCATGGAAATGAGCAGTCTTGAATATTTGGACACCACTACATAACAGCTGGAGCCTGGCTAATGACTGGCCTGTTTGCTTTGAGTGGACAGATGGATGGTTGGAAAACCATGTCTCTGATGCCACTTGCTCTCCTTCATGCCCCACTGACCTCTTGTCACTTTCACTCCCTCCCTTTGTGTCTTTGACACCCATCTGCATGTAGAGCTTTAATGAGAGCCGTGTTCGAACTATTTGCATAACACAACAGTTTGTATTTCTTATTTGTGAAGACACTCTTTTTCATTTACTCTTGTATTAGGCAAAAACGGGGCTCATATAAATGCGCACAATCTCCTTCTCTCTCGTGATATATAGGCAGACTGAAGGAGAGAAGAAAGTCACAAGCGCATACACACATCCTCAGATACACGAGCAAATACACATGGGACATAATAAAAAGATGTCAACCAGATCGAATGGAAGATACTTTAGAGAACTCCAATGATGAATAGTGTCTGCATAGGGTGCCCCCTCTGATAATGGAAGAAGACAAGAGAACAGAACGAGATATGCTTAAATCCCCGGTCTCTTCATAATTGGAATATTCTTTTTCCGGCCAAGGGAAATAGAAAAAAAATAATCAAAGAAAAGTGTAGGATGTACAGCAACCTCTGTATGTATGTATGTGTGTATATATATATATAAGCACACAAATTTCTCTGTCACTTTTTTCCTTGGGTGACTTTTCGCTCTCTTTCTCTGCTGAAAGTTAGATCTGGTTTTTCATTACATTGCTCTCAGCTTTGGTTGCCAGCAGGGCTTAGATGTGCAGCGCTGAGCTGCAGTGGAGCCCCACAGGTTCAGTCAGCTGCACCAACCATTGATTACGTCTCCTTTGAGTGTCCAAGATGCAAGTTTTGCTTTAACATTTCAAATGACTATCTCGGTCAGGGAAAAAAGCTCGGGTGTTGATATCCAGCATGGCCTTAACCAGCAGGGGGAGGAGCTTTGGGCATGCTCCATGTATTATTGTTTGGACATCATTTGTCATTTCTGTCTATGCGGGACAGCACGGTATTGTGAAGTCTCGAGTTATGTAACCTTCCTTTTTGTCTGAGTTCATTATATGTTTATGAAGGGGGGGAAGAGTCAAGTCAGTGAAGCTTGTACCATCGCAGGGTGTTGTGGACACCTCGGTGCTAATTTCAGAGTCTGAAAATGGCTAAATACTGGGCCAAGTGGGAGCCTAACAAGGGTGTTCCTCCTGGGAACATGAGTAAGACATGGAGGGTGGAAGAGGCCAGTGAGTTATGATTCTGACGCTGATCAAATGTGAAACGCTATCTCTTCTTATTAGCCTGCCAGCGCTAGTCTCTGCAGCAGCAGATACAGATAGGCCTCTCTCAGCTCAGCTATCAGCGCACAGAGGAGTGTTGATAGCTGAGCTCTGTGTGAGTGTGTGTGCAGACAATAAGCAGGAGCGAGTGTGAGGGATCACGGACGGCGTGTGTGCTACTGGAACGCAGCGCCCTCCCTCCTGACCCGCAGACCTCCCTCTCACAGCGGATTGATAGTCGTGACGGTGTCTGGAGAGACTGAACGCATCGCCGTGGTAACCACATCTGTCAGATGGGCAAAATTGGCAAGTTTATCAGGTGGAGATTTATTCTACAAGGAAGAGTCATACACTCGAGCCCCGTGCTCCTGAGTCCAGCCGCCACTAAAAAGGCCCAGAGGCAGGGCCTAATGGATATGACGTCAATATGAAGAGGGAGGAGATGGGCCATTAAAAAGAGCATCAGGGTAATAAAAGTGGCCACTTGTGTGTCTCTGTTGGTCTATTTGTGTTCATGTAGGAGGACATGGATGGGCATTTCACATGTATACTAAATGAAAATACACAACAAAATGAATACACGAGGGAACGGGGAGCAATTTGTTGGAGTGTATTGTTAAGGGACAAGAATTTTTCGGGAGAACATAATCTGCGTGTATCTCTGGCAGGTGTCTGTGAGCAGAAAGAGGATCCGCATTTGAGTATGAATAATAAAACAGAGGTGTCTCTGCCGCACACTCCCTCGCGCAGCGTAGAGCAAATGCGAACGCACACAAATGCACATGCATATTTTTCCGCTTGGCCTGCGGATGAAGAGTGCTTCTGTGCGGGGCGCTCCACAGGAATGGGAACGTTGTAAAAAGGGGTGGATGTGTAGTACTGATGGAGCACAAATTTGTAACACACCCCATAGCTGCAAAGGTGGAGATAAAAAGGGATTTTAAAGCCCTCTGCATCCCAGTGCTGCCTTTCTCCGTGTGTGCGCGTGTTGTTTATGAAGACGCTGTATTATACTCGTGTGTGGGAGAGTTGTGGGGGTTTCTCTTTGCAAGCGAAATAAGCTAATGAATTCAGCTTACCCAGCATCCCCAGCTGCCTAGCGACCTCACCTCTCAATCACTCTCAATGGGCAACCTTTATTTATAGAGCCATTATTTTTAGCCCTCTATAATTTCAGCCGTCTGCCTGTTGAAGAATTAGTAGAATGAACGGTGGAGCGATGGAGGATGAAAGAAAAGAAAAAAATCCTGATTCTTTTTCTATGGGTTTTGGCCTGAATTTTGATCATTTCTGAAAACATTTTTACTCAGTCAGTTCATATAGAAACTGAACGGTAGGTTTAGCAGAGCTCCTAAACCTGCGTTCTTTGGTTGGAGCCATTACTCAGTGCACAGTTTTTTTTATCCCAACCGGTTACACATGAGTCAGAAGAGTGGACAGCAGCACAGGAAAATCCCCAATACTCAGATGGGAGAAAGGAATTCAGTTCAGTAGAATGTGACCACGTGAACAACAAGAACATGCATCAGGGGGTGGTGGGTTAAGGCAGAAACTGAAATGGATGCATGCCAACATTTAAGACAATCAAGTGAAACGGGAGTGCTGGATTATGGCCATTTACCCAGGCCAGAGAGCCTCTGAGCACTGGCACCACATAAATCATGCCCATGGAGTGAAATATTAATCGAAGGGAACTATAAAAAAAAAAGAAATTGACTATCTGAGGGAAATATTGGTATGTGAGTTGGTCTGTTTTCAAACCAGTCTTTGAACGTTAGACCCCCTCCCTGAGGCAGAGCAGAACAGACTTGGCTTTTCTATGCCATCTGTTCCTATGGATGTGGTCACTCTGAACTAGACCCGTCTGTACCTCCTGCCTGCACACACAGAAACACACACACAGACGAACATCGTCTCTATGTAGGCTTTTTCACGCGCAGTGTTTTCTTCATGCCTCAAGCACTTGACTGGATGTCATGTGTCTAGATGTCTGTGTAAAGGGTTTGTGGTTTCAGGGAGGAGAGAAAGGGGGGGGCTATGGAGCCGCTGATGAGGTGGGTGTCGGGGAGGGCTCATATCGATTCAGACCCACTAGCAACACGCCAAGGAGCCGCTTTCATAATCCTCCCTGTTAAATAATTCAGCATTCACCCTCAAAATTTCATCAGAGCCTACATATAGAGAATCTCCCCCACAGCAGCAGCACAGTGAAGACACATTCAGGAGAGGGAGGGGACGATGAGGCAGCAGATGAATGAGCAGGTGGAAGATAGTTTGTTGATAATACCCTTGTCAAATCCCAAAATCAACGATGACAGACTACTTATGCAGCTGTAACACAGATTTCTGTGCTCTTCCTGAAATTATAGCCATCACAGACGGGTTTTTTCCCTTTTGCTTGATTAACTGCAAAACCAACTATTATGAGTGTTATTAGAAATATTTATCTCATCTCGAACCAAAGATCCTTTCCAGATCAGGTTAAATTTACTTGTGAATTTGAGGCTAGTATAATGGAAGGTGAAATAAAATGAGGGCAAAGTTTTTTTGAACATCTAAAACAGGAAGAAACAAAACAAATCACTCTAACATGGGAAAAATAAAAGAGGCTGATGTTAATTTAAGCAGAAAACATAGCTGTTTTACTTTTTTTCTGGTCATTCTCCTTTTCTTTCATCTGTTTTTGATATATGTTCCCTTTCTTAATGTAATTGTATGATTCTTTTATTAATTTATTTGCAGATTTAGGTGTGTTATATTTACATGTGCTTAAAATAGCTTCGTTTTCTGTAGGGTGCTGTGTGTCTTAGAGTTGGAGTTTCGGTTTTTCTTGTGCTTTGGGCTGTGATGTGTGTAGCATTTTAGGGCCACTGTACCTACCCCTACATAAAAGTAACTTTTATATTTTGGGGTCTCCTGATTTATTTAGCCTGTTGCCAGGAGACAACTGTCTTGATCCTCTGCCGGAAAGAGGTGGCCTCGCCCAAATCTAGAGACCAAAACCGGATCAAGACGTCCCTTAGAGGCAGCCATGAGAGAGTTTTACTACATTTCTATAGGAAGGATTTGTTCGTATACAGCATCTTTGGGGCAGTTTTGGCAGGAGTAAAGGAAAGGAAGAGGAAATAATGCTGTGCAAAAGGGTTTTCTTCAAACCCAAAGAGTTTAAATGAGGTTTGCAATTTGAGGAGTTGCTGACTCACTGAAGGGTAGAGATTTATATTCAAGGTGTAATGGAATTTATCTGGTAACTGGGAAACACTGTCTACAATGGACACACACAGTGAGTCATAATGCAACATAAAACCCTTTCATTTTAAGTCAAACACTTTGGAAGTCATTGACAATCATTTGAGGGTTTCTGTTTTTATTCCGTACATCAACACCAGCCCCAAGAGAAACTTAAAAATATCCATACCAATGCTCAGTATGCTCCTCCATGTGATCAAAAGTGGTTAATACTAATGGAAAATAAACATCTGACTATGGAAATAAAAGGTAAAAATCAAGTTAGAGGCAAAATGTCCGAATATTTTAGCTTTCCAAATACAGTGCATGGTGTTATGGACTTTAAAGGACTTTATTCATATTTTTAATGGGGTCAGGTCATATTAGAGTAAATATATTCTGTTTTCAGTGAATAAAACTGTGGTATAATGCAAATATAGCACCGTAGATTGAGAAACAGAGGAAATATTAAGTGTAAGGAAAATGAATAACTAAATGCACACATTATCTGGGTGTTAAACTTTATCCTCCATGCGTCATATCTTGATAATTCTTCTAAATTTAGGCCTTTTCCCTGTGACATGCGGAGATATCCAGGTGAATAGCCAGAAAGGAAATGAACTGCGTCTGATAAAAATACCTCTGACTCCTACAGCCTCCTTTGCTCCCCAGCTGTCCTTGGCTGAATCTTTCTGCTGAAGTGACGCAGTTTGAAACACTGACGGCTGTCAGCTTTGCTGTTGCAGAAAACATCTTTTTAGTCAGCGACTCAGACAGTGAGATTATGGGAGCGTGTCATCTTAGATAAAGATGCAGCACACGTTCTTGCCGTTTTATTGCTCTCCACCCTCAAACCTTGTTCTTTTGTAACACGTGCTGATACAACAATGGCCTGGTTCAGTGACTGACTTATCAATGAAGGTCAGTAGCAAAGGCAGGAAATGTATTATTGTTTGATGATGATTCTTTTTTTTGCCTCCACTGTGAGTATCTCATGGCGTAAATGGCTTGTTTTAGTCTGATAGCATGGAGGTTTGATAAGAAACACTAATAGATGGACTGGTGTAGTATAAACTATATACTATTCCCCCCATTTTTTCAGGCCTTTTTCACAATTAGCCTGGCTGCTGCCTGAGCCCTGCTTGTGTGCATTTCAAAGATGCAATTATGTAATTTCTTCCACTCTTCAATAATTCCTTTAAGATGCAAACATATAAATTATACCCATGTTTGTTACTGATGGGGGATTTGATGGGGTTTATTTCCAGCAGTATAGTCGTATCAGTCATTAAATAATTTACCGTCTGTTTCATGTTGAATCTGGGCCAAAACTATTTCAATTAAATGCAGTTGAATTATAGCGCAAGCTGAAATGAACTCACAAGAAAATAAATCTGTGACAAATGTA